CCACGAGAGGCGGCTCATTCAATCAGCGACAAGAGGGCTCCAGCCATGACTAAACACAGAGGTGCAAAACATTGACATGTACTGTATCAAGGGGGTGAAAAGGATCGTTACAGTACATGCTGTGGATTTGCATAGACATACTGTACATTAGGGAAAAAAAAGTATTCAAATTGTTCTAACGGTTTCCTCGCTCACAAAACAGTTTGGTAGTATCAAGTTTTCACATTATTAGAAGTTACATGTTTAGATCATCATTTAGAGAACCAATCAGCTCAGCCCAAAGAGTTAAAAAGCGACTCACAGGGCTCTCTCTTACTAATATGTAAATGATGTTTTGCAAATTAGATGAAGATAGCACATAGATTTGCTTACTTCAATTTAATTGGGACGGCGAGGTGGCAGAGTGGTTAGCACTTGTGCTTTACAGCCGATGGAGACTTTCTGTCTCCGGTGTCCTCCATGTGCTCCGGTTTCTTCTGTGTGCTCCGGTTGCCCCTGTGTGCTCCCGTTTCTCCTATTGCTAAAATGATGTACGATATGAATGTAACAAGTGAGTGAATGTAGAGATGGTTGGAGGCTTTGATGCGTCAGCGTGTTCGGTTCCTCCTTCTGTCTTCACCGGGCTCCAAAACATTATAAAGTGCTTTGAGTGACCTTGGTCTGTGAAATGTGCTATATAAAAAATATGAATAACTTCTTACAAAGAAGTACAAGACTCCCACTGATGACTGCTGTCGTTGGGTCCTTGGGCAAGACACTTAACCCCACATTGCCTGAAGCCCCTGCTGAATAATCAAGGCTCCTGTGGACTCACCACCTGCAGGAGGATCAGTGAGAGGCTGGTGCTATGTGTTTGGTCTTACAAACACCATGTATTATTTATAGAAAGGAGAACAGAGAAGGGGCCGGTAACAGTACTGAATTTCAAAACACTCTCATACATTGTTTCCCCAGTGAAAGATCTAAGTGAGTTAATACCAATCCAAAAGAATACAATTGAATGAGTAGTCTGGAGGGAAGTAGGTTTTATATTTTATTTCAAAAACTTTCAAAATAAGTTTCAAGTTCAAGAAAGTAGAATAAGCTTAGACACAATGCAAAGCATCATATACAGACGGATAAAATACATTTTATATATTGCAGACAAGCCATGGTGGGTCTTACATATGTACAGTATGTATGTAAACTTTTATGTACAATCTTTTTTACACATACAAAAGCTGTTGTTTCTATTTTCTTTGTATATATTTATATAGAGATTTATTTATATATATATATAGAATTTTATATACTCCCCACTAGCATTTGTACTATAATGAAAAAGTAAAGAAGGAAAAAAAAACATTTACATATATGACAATCCATTTTTTCTCTTTTTTATATTACAAATGTTTCCATAAAAATATATCTCTGTACAAAAAGATTTGATATTCATGAACATATTCTCTTTTCTGCACTGGTCACAGCCTGCTCTGCTTCACAGGCCTTTTACTGTTTTGTTTGTTTTGTTCTGACTTTGTCCGGGGGCTTTTCTCGTCTCACTGAGGGGCTGAGGGCTTTATGATTGCTGTGTTTGAGAGATTTATCCGACTGACATGAAACAAGCAAAACACAACACAAACAAGGAGCCCGTAATAACCTTGGAAAGCTCAAGTTAATGCGAAACAGCTCTGTGAAAATAAGTCTGCGCAGTGACATACTTGGAGTCCACAAAGTTGCAAACCTCTGAATGCAATGAGGAAGATTATAACCAGTTTTCAACAATTTACCTGAAATTAATCAACATATAAAGTGTAATGTTAGGGGCATATGAGCGCCTACTATCTCTCAGTGGATTTCAACCCCTGCTGGCCTGAACCCTGGAGGAGCAGAGTCATTGGACTAATTTCTGCTCCACTACCTCGGAAAAGAAATATCCATGAAGTTAGATGGAACTCGGAGACCTCAGCGTTGGCCCAGTTCATTATGGAAAAGATGGTGAGCAGGAGAACCCGGTGCTGCGTCAGGCTGATAACGAAAATGAGTCGAGGATGAACAAGTTTCTCCCCTAAAATATGCAAATAGAACCACCGCACGGCCCACCGCGCTTCTTGCTCAGTTCCACCCGCGACTGATCGTTTAAGAGAACTTTTTATGACTGCTGCTTGATAAATCATTCAACATTTAACTTACTTCAATCAAATTAGAGGGGTGGAAAGCAAATTAGCAAATTCAGTATGGAAATTGATGCCAACTTAAAACTAAAACGTTGCTGTGACCCAAATTAAAGAGAAAAATACAAATATGTAAACTATTGGTGCACGTCCGCAAACATTTGGTTTATCTCTCGTTTTACCTTTTTGGTAAAAGAAAAAGAAAAAAAGAGAGTCAGAAAAGGCAAAGGCAAAATCAATATGTTCTGAATACAGTACAGACAAACACAGTAGCAGCCTGTAAGGAATGAGTGAATATGTTATAGAAATGTTCCGTTTTTATTTTGACTATAAGGGGCACTTCAATAATTTAAAATTACGTAGACCAACCTATTTGTTTCAATCCCAAAATAATGCATTGACCGATTTACACACTGTGATATTCAAAAGACTTTTATTTGTGATAATTTGCAATTTGCATTTGATAATTACACAATATCTCATAAAAAAGTAAAGTAATTGCACTTCCACAAATTTGTCTTATATTGATGTACCTCTTACAGCGAGTTAATAAATATATTTTTCAAAGACCAAATATAGCTATATAAAGCATTTGAATAGACACTATTTCTCGTATTTAAAGGATGTTGAACACAAACGGAGCCACTATGGACGATTCTGAAGCGATGTCCTTTGTCCTTTGTAATGAGGTTGTACCAAGGCACTAGAATGAATGTAAAGTGCATGTTGGGAGGCTGGGAAGGTCAACACATGTATGGGGGGGGAAATCAACATAATCTGGCCCATCACAATGTCTGCACAAAGTCCCATGCAACCTCTAAAAATGTTTTCAGTAGTGGATTGGCATGTCTTCTTTTAAAGATATGAAAAATAAAGAGACCCAAAGCACTGCCCATTACTCAACACCGCTGCTCTAATTCAATTGTTTCCTTTCCCCTCAATTCACATCATGAGCAGAGCAAAAGGGCCAATATTCTATCTGTAGAGCGGAGATAAGCGGGGAGCCTTAAAAGTAATAAAATTGTAAAAGCAATTACTGCCCAGTATTGAAACTGACTGATAGAACAATACAGCGATTGGTTTCAAAAGGCGGCTGTTTCAAAGAGAAGCGCTGGACTAAAGGTGAGACTTCATTGAAAAGAGGATTTGTGTAGAAGCCAGGGGGATACATTATGTGTTTTTTGAAGATATAAATCCACAAACGGACGCTCTTTTGAAATAGTTGCTTTCAAAAGAGCGTATAATTCTGTCAAAACAAAATTAATTGTGAATTGTGTCAACATTATTAAAGTCACAATAAAGGCTTAAATTGTGTGGGGAAAACAACCCTAATAAATCCATATCTTTGCCCCAAATGCATAGAACCAGGCTATGAATTGCACTTTAAAACACTTTAAGACATTTTGAAATTTTGGTTCCTGCCTTTTTAACTTCACACCTCCATTGTTTTCTTGAGCAAGACACACTTTTAATTCTCTGGTATCATCTTTAAATGTATAAAGCCTTTTCCTCACGGTTGTGGGGGCAATCTTTCTAAAAAAATCAATTATATCACGGTGTAAATGCATCACCACGATGACCCTTTGTTGCTATGATGGAATCGTTGGATCAGGAATATTTTGGAGCCTATTTCAGTGGCTCCAACGTGGCCAGAAATGAACACTTTTCCCCTACACCCACAAAATACAGCACTAAGTGCTTTTTAAGAAGACACAGCCACCTCATAACCTCCTGTGAACACCGCTGTGTCAGCAGAAAGCAACGCATTGCAGACTCCAGCCAAAAAAAAAAAACGTGATGGAGTGCAGTACATCCAACAAGGCCTTCAAAACTCACAGATTTTTAATTCATCCAAAAGCTAGAGGATGAAAGATTTCGCCAGCCTCCGGAGCAGACAGTTGAGGAAAGAAAAGGTTTCTCGATAACTCACCACAGCAAAGAACGCTGAGCGTAGAAAATCAAATAGAAAACAGGAGAGAAATGGATGGAATAGTCCAGGCTGTCTCGACGTCCGTAAGCTACTGGTCAAATCTTCTGATTCAAAGTTGACCATTTTAAAAATCCCTTTGGGTTTAGGTGTTGGGCAGGGAGAAAAGTCATCACAGCTTTGCTCTCAGCTTTCCTCGAGCTGCAGTAGTTTCAGGTAGCTTGTTCTCCAAACATGGAAAACGAAGTAGAAACCAGGTGAAGTTGGAACGCGTTGGCATTTATGTGAGTCTTACTCTTGTCTTCACAAGTTTTCTCTATGACAGTATCCTGTGGGCAAAGGAGCTTTGACACAAAGTGTCTGTCAGCAAATAAAATATTCTTTGTTTTGCCCTCTGCTCACGGAGCCACAATCCTCTGTTGGCAGGCAGTCTCCCTCTTCTTTACGAATCAGGAATGAGTGCGCTGTTAGAGAGCACAAGAAAGATGAGAGATATGTATTAAACATTGCTCTATCATAGTTATCAATTGTCTTGTATACTTTACAAACTTTGCTGTTTGGTCTGACATCTGTATATCGAAAGACTTTTGTCACACTATTTCTCTTTCATTTACATGACTACTGCAGTAGCGAAATATATTTCATTCACACCTTCAAATACAGTGACCTGGCGTTTTACATGTTTTTCATTTATTTATTTATGTTATTTATTTCAGCCCTCTAGCTCTAATAAAGTTCCAGGACTCCGTCTTGTGTCTGTTTCACCTCAAAAATCTGAAAAAATCCATTCCACATAGACACCTTCTGCTTCACTTCCCCTGCAGTGGTGGCTCTGCTGCATCTATATTAATGTGAAGACTTCTACACAACGGCAGTACATACAGTCGTCACATATATGAGCGTTACCTCGGGAGCGGTGGCTATACAGCTGTACACACTGTGCTGACTGTGAACTCGCTCTCGTTGTTCATGATGTCCGTGGGCTGGATGTTGCGGTCGTACATGGGGTTCTCGAAGGTCGCGCGGCCATTCGTGTTTTCATGGCCGACGTAACCATTGAAGGGTACTTTGGGTCTTCTTCTAAAATGAAACGCAACAGGAAGTTCAGAACATTGCAGTCAATGGGTGAAATTACTACTGTACTTTTTTTTTGCTTCATAACGTTGTGACTTTTTGTTTCTACATGTAGTTTATATTTCTATGTCATTATTTTTTTGAAATCATCTTTTAATTTTGTAATAGAGTAGGGAGGTAGCGCAAGCGCTAGTAACTATAGCAACATACTGTTAACTTGCTAGTTAGAATTTAGCCTTTCAAAAATCTGTTTTTTAATGTATTCAAGTTATATTCAACAGTTTTTGCACTTATTAATGTAAGTAAAGGTAGATTTCAGAGATGAACGCAAGTCCAAGTCAAGTCCAAGTCAAGTCCAAGTCAAGTCCAAGTCAAGTCCAAGTCTCTGGACTTGCAAGTCCAAGTCAAGTCCATGCCCTGGAGTCCAAGCCAAGTCCGAGTCCCTGGACCCGCAAGTCCAAGTCTCATTTCTTACGCATTAAAATCATGCCCAATACAATTTAAAAAGGACTAAAATATGTGAATTCATTGTATTGTTTTTTTAGAGCGCATTTTTCCAGCCTTAAACATTTCCGCCTGCAGGCCATACCAGGGTTGGACTGGGACCAAAAAACGGCCCCATGATTTTTACAATTGTTGAAATACATAATGTCAGCCAATGGCTGTCATTAAATCTGTTTGTTTGTTCACAGAATTTTACTATTGGCACAACCAACATGAGCTGCAAGGGAAAATGTACGTACCCCAGCTTTAATTTAGCGAGTTTAGGAGGAGACACGGGGAGACATGGGAACTTCAGGAGGCTCTATCATCCAGCTCTGTTTATTGCAGAGGTGTATAAAGACAGACACACAACCAGCAGAGAATGGTCCTGTGCGTGTGTATGGTCCTGGGAACATTATGACCACAGGCTGCCGCGTTGACAGAGCGGCTCACAGCTCAGACACAACTTTCTTATTTTATTTTATTTTATTTCATCTTAAATTTATTGTCTATTATCTTAAATAATAGACTTTGATGTGTGCAATCTGAGTGCTCTTATTTCCTTTCTCTGCTGTAATGTGCAACGATGACACTGAAATTTCTCCACTGTGAGACTAATAAAGGTTTATCTTATCGTATCTTAAGTGATACAGCCGGGTCCAAGTCGGACTCGAGTCCAAGTCCGACTCGCGAGTCCCCATCTCTGGTAGATTACTTTTCTGATATCCATTGATTTGAATGGGAGCAATCCTAGTGTAAAAACCAGTTTGTATTATTTTTAATTCCCTTACTGTTGTTTACTAGGTTTGTTATTGTGAAGAATTGTAATCATGTAATTGCAATCAGTTATATCTTTAAAAAAAACTAAAACAAATGTGGACAGTATATCCTAGTGTACTGCTGTCTCCCTGCTGTATTTGATTCTGTCCACATCTATTCAATTCAATTGAATGTATTACTATAAATCTCTAAATCCCAACAGTAGAAATCTCGGAGAACTTTACAAAGCTGTCGATTCGCAAGCACAGATCAGAGAATCAAAAAGTTCAAAAACGGGAAATGCAATGATAAAAAAAACATAGAGCCATTGTTCCATAAGCAGCAGATGACCAATGACCGATGACCAATAATACAACTCACACATCATTGTATTGGCTTCACAGAATGGCAACGCTAAAAGAATGTGCCTTTTATCTACATAGAACACGTCGGTATTATGTCACATGTACTTTTCTAGTGCACTTTACAATTTCAGCTGTCACATTCTTGATTGAATTCATTTTCACCCAGTAACAATGTGGTTCCTCGAAAACACATTTTCACTAAGTATTAACCACATCATCATTACAAGTAAAAAGCTTCTATTTAAGAAGGATATCACATAATACTTAGTAATATTCCATTTAACTTTGTGTGGGGAGAGGAGCGGATGAAACGACATGGGAGATTACCTGTGTTTGTAGAGGTACAAAGCAAAGCCTGCAATGATCATGGCAATAAAAGGCACTAGAATGGCTGCAGCCACGGAACTGCTGTTGGAGGCGAAGTTGTATCCAGGGTTTTCTCTGCCGGGATCCAAACTCTCTGCAAGATACATGGAAACAGATACATAATTAAACATTGTTCTTTGTACGGTTCTCACAATGCCCCAGAAAAATGAGTAAATATCATTCTCTGTCAGAGAGGCTGGACTTTATGTAACTAAGCCTTATAGCTCATACAAAAGCATATTCCTGTGTCATTTCCTTGTATACTAACTCTTTATTTTACTCTAAAATGCCTGTAGTTCAAGTTAACGCAGCTGAAAAACCTTTCAGGTAACTATGGTAACTGTAAACAGCCAAACGTCTATTCATATTTTAAAGGTAATTTTGTCAGTTCACTGGTAGAAAGGACTTTCAGACATAAAACAAATATAGAGGGTTTAATCTGACTGCAATCTAAAAATGATCTGATCAAACCATTTGGAAATTTTCTTTTCAACTCTTTGCATGGAGTGGCATTGGCACTTGGGCGACATAATGAAATACATTTCTAGAACCCAACCTATACTACTCTTTGAAATAGATGTTTTTTCAGATGCATGCCGATAAAACAGAGTACTAGGTTATTGGGATTATTCAGGTATACAGGCCAGCTTTCACATGTTGTTTTTGACAGGAGGTTGAGTACATATTTCCATAATGCCCTGGCACGCGCCCCAGTCTTCTTTTTAATAAGCAGTGTTTGCTCTATCAGAGAGCTGGTGCTGGCGGAATGCCCCACACCTGCTGCTGAGACACCTCTCTCATGACAAGATATTCCACATCCACGTTCAGCCTCTTCCATATCCTTTTATCATGCCACACAGGCTTAATCTATGTTAACACCACATTCCTCCATGCTCCATTTCAAATGCCTGCTTCCATGGGTTTCCTCTTTAACACCCCAGTCTTCTGTCTGTCAGCAGAAGAAGCTCACATTGGTTCGCCTTCTTGAGTCTTATCAGCATTAACGTAAAGAGCCTCACAAAAGCACCTCCACAAAATTATGTACATGACTGAGCTGAAGATTATGGTGGACTTAAACAGGGCTGAAAGTGCACTGGTGATCTGCTTCTAAGGGTAGGGTGAACCGTTTACATTCTGAAGTGAGGTGTGGTGCATATCTATTTATTTGTATAGCACAGTTCAAACACTCAAAGGGCTTAAAGGTATATAAGAGGATTCTCTTCTGGGTGGATCATCAAGACTCTTGGTCCTCCCAATTGGGCGGCACGGTGGCTGAGTGGATAGCACTCTCGCCTCTCAGCAAGAAGGTCCTTGGTTCGAATCCCGGCCGGACAAGGGCCTTTCTGAGTGGAGTTTGCATGTTCTCCCCGTATCTGCGTAGGTTTCCTCCGGGTACTCCGGTTTCCCCTACCACAAAAAAATATGTACAATAGGTCTGGCATGCGCCTCCTGTTCGGCGACCCCGCTCCCATCTCTGTGTGGAGTGAGAGGACAAGTGCCCAAAAATAACCATTGTAAACCGCTTTGTGACTCTGGTCTGTAAAAGGCGGTATATAAATAAAGATTACTTACTTACTTACTTACCAATTGTCAATCATTAGAGAGTTTTGTTCAAAAAGTGGAGGGAATTGTTTTTTTATACCTTTGACAAAACGAGATAGGAACAATAATTAGGCATTGAAGCTGCACTAACTGACTTTATTTTCGTATTCATTACGAAAATGCTATCCATGTCCATGTAGTGCATTGGGATATACAGTGCCTTGCGAAAGTATTCGGCCCCCTTGAACCTTTCAACATTTTGCCACATTTCAAGCTTCAAACATAAAGATATAAAAATTAAATTTTTGTCAAGAATCAACAACAAGTGGGACACAATCGTGAAGTGGAGCGAAATTTATTGGATAATTTAAACTTTTGTAACAAATAAAAAACTGAAAAGTGGGAGCTCTTTCCACAGATTCTCGATTGGATTCAGGTCTGGACTTTGACTTGGCCATTCTAACACCTGGATACGTCTATTTGTGAACCATTCCATTGTAGATTTGGCTTTATGTTTTGGATCATTGTCCTGTTGGAAGATAAATCTCCGTCCCAGTCTCAGGTCTTTTGCAGACTCCAACAAGTTTTCTTCCAGAATGGTCCTGTATTTGGCTCCATCCATCTTCCCATCAATTTTAGCCATCTTCCCTGTCCCTGCTGAAGAAAAGCAGGCCCAAAGCATGATGCTGCCACCACCATGTTTGACAGTGGGGATGGTGTGTTCAGGGTGATGAGCTGTGTTTCTTTTACGCCAAACATATCGTTTTGCATTCTGGCCAAAAAGTTCAATTTTGGTTTCATCTGACCAGAGCACCTTCTTCCACATGTTTGGTGTGTCTCCCAGGTGGCTTGTGGCAAACTTTAAACAAGACTTTTTATGGATATCTTTCAGAAATGGTTTTCTTCTTGCCACTCTTCCATAAAGGCCAGATTTGTGCAGTGCACGACTGATTGTTGTCCTATGGACAGACTCTCCCACCTCAGCTGTAGTTATCTGCAATTCATCCAGAGTGATCATGGGCCTCTTGGCTGCATAAGATAAGATAAGATAAGATAAGATAAGATTGATTTATTTATCTCACAGAGGAGAAATTTACATGTCACATTTGACATTGTCACAATAAAGTGACAATAATTATGTACAACAAAAGTGACAAGTGTCAATTGGAAACAGTGTCAATAGTAGTGCAGGTTTTCACACAGTGATCATTTAAAGTGACTTATTGTACAGTCTGACAGCGGTGGGGATAAAGGCCCTGCGGTAGCGCTCCTTCCTACACTGAGGGTGCCTCAGTCTTCCACTGAAGGAGCTCCTCAGCTCCTCTACAGTCTACATCTCTGATCAGTCTTCTCCTTGCTTGAGATGAAAGTTTGGAGGGACGGCCGGGTCTTGGTAGATTTGCAGTGGTCTGATACTCCTTCCATTTCAATATAATTTCTTGCACTGTGCTCCTTGAGATGTTTAAAGCTTGGGAAATGTTTTTGTATCCAAATCCGGCTTTAAACTTCTCCACAACAGTATCTCGGACCTGCCTGGTGTGTTCCTTTGTCTTCATGGTTCTCTCTGCGCTTTAAACAGAACCGTGAGACTATCAAAGAGCAGGTGCATTTATACAGAGACTTAGGCCCTGTCCACACGAAGTCAAGCTCAGGCCTAAACGCAAAAATACTTTATCAATCCAGTGTATCGTCCATACGAGGCCGGCGTTTTGGGGGGGTGTAAACGAACATTTTTGAAAGTAGGTCCCAGAGTGGAAAGATTTCAAAACTCCGTATATGCCGCTCCGTGGTTACTGCCTCTCCGCAATGTATCTGAGACGCTTGCGTCATCGCCCCGCCTCTTGTTAAAGCACGCATGCGCCGCACTCAGAAAATAATGACAACAACAATGTAGCTTGTTGGTTTTGTAATCCAGTGTGACCCGAAGCAACAGTTCAACCTCATCGTCCGTCCATACTAATGCAGTACCAGCTCGCCCACTCGCCATGTTGTCTGTTTACAAAATTCTGCGCATGCCCAGTTCCCGTCACGGAAGTTTGGGCTTGATCCCGTCATTGCGTCACAGCGCCACCAACAGGTCTGGCATAGTTTCACAGCGTTTTCAGGCGTATTGACTACATTCATATGGACGCACACATTTACTGAGCTAACTCCGTGTTTACAGAAAAAGTTTCTGAAATTATAAGCGTTTTGTCTTCGTGTGGATATAGCCTTAATTACACACAGGTGCATTCTATTTATCATCATCAGTCATTTAGGACAACATTGGATCATTCAAAGATCCTCACTGAACTTCTGGAGTGAGTTTGCTGCACTGAAAGTAAAGGGGCCGAATAATATTGCACGCCCCACTTTTCAGTTTTTTATTTGTTAAAAAAGTTTAAATTATCCAATAAATTTCGTTCCACTTCACGATTGTGTCCCACTTGTTGTGGATTCACAAAAAAATGTTTAAATTTTATATCTTTATGTTTGAAGCCTGAAATGTGGCGAAATGTTGAAAGGTTCAAGGGGGAAGAATACTTTCGCAAGGCACTGTACGTCCTTTTGAAGAAAAAGTAGTGCAGATTTGTGCTGGCGTGACATTATATTTTAGATCGAGTTTTGATGAAACAGGAAGAGAATGTGTTTCGGGTCGCAGATTGTGACCAATCACAGCGGACCACTAGCCCCCACTTTCGTGAGAAATCTACAGGTCTCCGTTATTATAAACGGCTGAGTTAGCACAACAAGCCGAGGAGCTAACCTGAAACTTTCTCGTCTTCGTCACCGGTTACTGCTTACACAGCGAGGCAGCTATCCAAAAGAAAGTCTCGTTCCTCCGCGCTTCCCGGTTCTATCGTTCTATGGTCACGCCATCCGCGTGCAAATCCATATCCATGTATTATCCATATTGGGAGACGCTAGCTCCGTCAACAACAGTGGGTGTGTGTGGGGGGCGATAGCTTCGTGGGTGCGGGGAGGGGAGCAGAAAGAGAGAGGCCAGCGAGTCCGCGGCTTCAAAATCCCAAAGTCAGTTAGTGCAGCTTTAAGATAAAAATTCACAACAAAAAAGTGAAGATACAATCCTTCAGTTGTATGCACAGCTAAACTGTTTTAACCTGGATTTGAACATTGTCAGAATTCAGAGAGACTGTGCCAGATTTCAGCAGCATAAATTTGAAAAGGTAGAAAAATAACTCATGCACACAGTACTTGCAAACACCAGTATTTTTTTTTAATTCACAGATGTTTCAACCGTGGGTGTTCATCAACCTGCTTTTACAAAAAATATCTGCATTTTTCAGCTGCATACGTTCTTGTTTTTTTACAGGCTGTGAGAGATTTGTCAAAAATATAACAAAGACTTGATACGTTTCACTTTACGTGTATTGAGTCTGTCACATAATTTGTTTGAAATAAAGAAGTATATGGACTTTTGGATGATATTATATTTTTGGGCGTTTCACCTGTATATAGAAAGTCATATTGAAAGTCAAAATAAGAAAGTAAAAAGTAAATGACCTACAAAGATGTTAGTAATTGTGCTCCTTCCTACTTTACAAATCTTCTGGTGACTTACTTTCTAAATACACCACTTTGTTCTCAGAGTGCAGGCTTACAGGTGGTCCCTAGAATCTCCAAGAGTATTGGAAGGGCTTTTAGTTTCAGGCCCCTGTAATATGGAACAGCCTTTCTCTTGCAGTAAGGGAATCAATCATTACTATTTTTACATCTAGGCTCAAGACCTTTCACTTGAGCCGAGAGAGCATATTGCATGGTTCACATTACTTCTACTTCCTATTATCCTACCCTCACACTGTTGTTGCTTACTGTATGTAGGCACTGTTTTCCATATGGTCTACAGCTCTTGGTGCTCTGACGTCAGAAAATGGAACGCAATAAAGGACCACTGTTTCACTTTAAAGCTTTAGTAAGTAAGTAAGTCTTCTTTATAAATGTATATAGCACATTTTTACAGACCAAGGTCACCCAAAGTGCTTTACAATGTCCATAGTTCAGATATTGTTCCATTCTCTCCCCACACAGTGACAACGAAAGCGAGACGCCGATCAAACTGGCGCATCAAAGCCCCAACCAACACCATCCATTCATTCATACTGACTGTTCAGATTTTTTTTTGTGGTAGGGGAAACCGGAACACCCGGAGAAACCTACACAGACACACGGAGAACATGCAAACTCCACTCAGAAAGGCCCTGTTCCGACCGTGATTCAGACCGTGATTCAGACCGTGATTCAGACCGAGGACCTTCTTGCTGAGAAGCGAAAGTGCTATGCACCCAGCCACCGTGTGCAGTTCATTTAGAAGGAAAGGGCACAAAACTATTGGAATTTTAGAGAAACTGTATTTAATATGCACTCTTAATAGTCTGCCAAAGTCATTACAATTACAATCCAACTTTTGTTGCCAGAATCAAAATATATTGAAGACATAAATTCAGAAAACATAAAACATTGACAGAAAATTAAATATGAGGTGCTAGCTTGAAATACTCTTAAAAGCCTCCATCCATCAAAACATCACTCATACGTCTGCAGCATGTGTGACGTGTGTGACGCATGTACAACGCTGTGTATTGCGTGGCTTTGAATATAACTGATTAACTCATTACAAAACGAGACAAGTTCAGTCTTGCTAAATTACTATACTTTGTTTAAAATGTTTCCCACTCTGCACTCTAATGAGGAAACCGACCAAGTTAACTGCCAACTGGGAAAGTACATATAATTAAAATCACTCAAGCCAGACTCCAATTGAACCAGTTTTGATCAATCTCACAGTGGGAGACGGCACACTCACCTAGCCTTTGGAGACCGAACTGGCCAAAGCCTTTCCCTTTGACGAAACCCTGGTACACAAAGGAGTTGGACGAGGAGATGTAGGAGACCTGGAGAGAGGAGCAGAAGACTGTCACCACATGCGTCACACCCAGACCTCACAAAGGGGCCAATAGTGGAGTGTCAGTGGCTGGTGCACACACAAAATGAAACATTGTGTCAAAGAGCTGAGAGCCACACTCATGGATGACATTTAATACAGCGTTTTTCTGCTCAAGAGAACAACCAGCCCTCTGCGGCCAGCTACAAGAGAAATATTGGATTTTGTACGCTGTCTGTACACCCATGTCTGCAAATGGGTCTACAGTGGAGTAATGGGGGAGGAAGAAACACAAGATACTTGTATACTGTGTATTTTATAGGTTTACTATTTTGAATGCACTTGCAAATACATTATATACATGATGAAATGTTCTACGTTGCATTACGATAGATGGATAATACTTTATTCATCTCTTGATAGGGAAATTTAAGAGATACAGACATAGTAATTACAGACATCAATTAGACACAAAATGAAAAATAACATGAAATGAAAATGACATTTAAGAGAAAGTTAAATCTTTGGGTGTAAGCCTCCACTTTAGAACTTATTATGCAGCCTAAATGCTGCTGGAACAAAAGACAGCTCAGAGAGAGGAAGTGACCACTCCATTAGGTAATGCAATTCATTTTTATTGTATTATCTGCTCCCATTTACAGCTCCTTATCTATGTATATTTTGTGTGCTCTCTGTGTGCACTTACTCCCTGCTCTTGCCTGTATGTGCTCTGCAACACCAACATATCCCCACCATGGGACGAATAAAGGTTCTCTTATCGTATAAGTGGCTTTGCAATTATGCTATTAATTATGAAAAATTGTTTGTATCAGCATTTGTTTGTGATTGTCTTTCAGTATGTAATGTAATCAAGTACTAAAAGTGAAATTACTGTACCCAAATAAAATGTATAGTTAGCAGTATTTCACTGAAATCAATTTAACGGTTTTTTTTTCTACTACATTTGAGATTAGGTATCACTGGACTGGACCAAAAAAGCATATTTTCAATATTATTACTAAGCGTGAAATTGCTCAGAGGTTATATTCAAATTCCTTTGTATGGCTCATAGTTACCTGTAAAAACTACAACAGGTAGTTTTGTACCTGAAAAAATACAATTGGTGAGAAAAAAAAAAGAAGACTAAAATATCATTAATATTCTTTTTTTTTCCTTCAGTAATTTCACTTATTTCACCACTGACTACACTCGACAGTTATTTGAAGACAGCAGATCAAACAAAAAAGCCCTTTAGAAGAAAAAAATACATTTGGAACTTCTATTCTCCTTATAAAACGATGCAACCACTCGTGCCTTGACCTGCTTTTAAATGAGACTGTGTTCTCATTGCCCGAGGTGGACGAGCACACGAGGGAGCCGAGCGACGGGAGGGGCCGTGCTGCTGAATCCTGATTACCAGCCAATGATTTAACTGACATTTTAATTAAACAGAAAACTCTTGCAGGGCCTTATATCTCGTGGGACTGACAAGGTTACTGCGCATGTGTGCCCTGTATATTTCATAGAATATCAGACAGCCTGTGTGTCTTTGAATGATGAAATATGTGCGTAATTAAAGTAGGGAGGGGGGGGCTAAGCGGTCTGGTGGAGGAGCTGACCCGAGCGTGCACTTACATGTCCGTCCAGGGCCCAGTTGTCGATCTTGAACTTGTTGACAAAGATCTCCACGGGGCCACGGATCTGATGAACCTGCAGCAACAGGTGGGCTTCCTCTCTTTTGTAAGTGCCTTCAAAACACAGAAATGGGGTATTACCTGACTTGTCGGTTGGCAGGTTTTTAGTGATTTATCATTTTCATTTAAAATCATTTAAATCTATTAACAGCAGTCATCTCAGAGAACTTTACAACACAGATCAGAAAATAAAACACAGGAAATTAAAATATTAACAAACACATAGGAACCATGGGTCCATAAGAGGGCAGGTGGCCAATGTTAATAAATGTCTATAAAAGTCCCTAACAGGTCCTTGATCAATCATCACCAATATTGTTAGACCCTCCTGCATATGCAAGGATGGTTATTTTGGGTGAATGACACTGGACGACAGTTTTGGAATTATAATGTTACTCCAATAAAGTCAGTTTATCACACTAGAGATGGACTCATCCTAAAGTTTGGAACAATTTACAACAAACATGTTTGAAGGATTCACTCATCTGAATACACATTTGCACTTTTGATGTAGCCTGGTCATACCACACCATAGTACAAAATACATTTTGTATCATCAATCACAACCAGGAAGTAAAATTATATATCTAAATAAATGGTCAAACTGAGATAACATTTGTACAATAATATTGTTATTAAATAATAAAATAAAATGAGAGACTCAAACTGGTGGAATGTATTGTATTTTCAATTAAGAATGACTCTAACTTCAACCTTTTGTTCACAAATTGTCCAATAAGTTTTATACATAGATACATTTGAATGTTTGTGGATTGATTTTGTGTGTTTTACTATACGCCATTATGAAGAGCTGCAGATAATGTTGATGTTTTATTCGTAAAATAAGTAGTAGCACAGTTTAATCCAAATATTTTATATTTTGAGCTGCCCCATAATTGTGCCACGAGCTCAAATCAAAATGACCACTGCTCTGAGACAACATCAGTCCAGTGAATGCGCATATAAATGATTATAGATTTCAAAGACAGTGTGTGTTTTTCTTACCGGCCAGTTTGAGCTCCACTCCGCTGTGGTCAATCAGTGTCCCATTAACTCGGTTGCTGAAGGGTTCGAAGGCAGTGATGCTGAGCATGGCTGGCTGCTTCTTCCCCAGGTACTCGTAAGAACCTCTCCACAGAGAGTTCTTGGCAAATACACCGCCAGGGACTAAAAAGGCACATAGATTTATGAGTTCAGGCATTTTCACTTAATTTGCCCCCTGAACATAAATACATGCATTTGAAATACTAGTTGCTTCTAATCTGTACTGTCTTGGAAATGTTCAAAATGTCTTCAGTCTGTGCATAATAATGTGCAATGTAACATGATAATATAAAGCAACAAAGTTAAACGTTATGCTTCGATGTATTATCCCTCTGTATTGTGAATTAAATACACCTAAAAGTTTGGCCACACTTAATGTAAACCCTAAATGTAACTTGTGCTTATGCAATAGAAAATATATTATGTATTATGAAAAGAAAAAAATACATATTTTCATGGAAATAAGCAGAAGTGTGAGTCAGCTCTGTAGATATATCAACAATAAATCTTAATTTATAAGAGCATAAATACTGAGGGTTCCGTTTGTGGGGCTTTAAATGCATTTCTAATCCAATCTGTACATTTGTTGAAACATGTATCATCTATCTAACAGTAAGGAATACATCCATTGCAGATTATGTAATGGAGCCTGTGTTATAAACAAATATGATGATATTTTCTATGAATAATCATTATACCTGGCAATTTCGAGGGTGGTTCCTGCACCGTCCCCACAGGGCTCTTCCCACTAGGCCGGTTATCAGCTGCAGGAAAGACAAGGTGGAAGACGTTTAATGACCGGGACATACATCGACCTCACCGGGAGGCACAGAAACCCATTTCCTGTATTACACAGCAGTCCCACGCTGGGGTCAGAATCGCCGCTTTGTGATGAGCCGTACTCTAATAACCCCCCAGTGTCCAGAGTGAGAGGTGGCAGAGACAGGACTTGACTTATGAGGAGAGCAGCCGGAGTCCCTGTTCTCTACTGTACTGAGCTCAACGCAAGGCACTTTTACCGCTTCTGGGAAAGTACTTTAATAATGGCTTACTCACGGTGGGCTGAGGGGCCACCACAATTGTAAGCACACCCACGCATGAGCCCCTGCGCTGGAAGAGGGCTTTACATAGGACTGTGAACAAAGACAGGTATACTAGTGGTAAGTTATGAATGCACACATCCCACACAGACTCTCCGACAGCCAAGTGCTTTATGAGCTGCCACTCTTTTGATTTGGCCTTCTATCACAGGGCCCAAAGGTGCAGTTAATAATCTCTACGTGCTGAGGCCAGTTTTCTCTCCTTCCCTTCTCCCTTCAGCGCCTTAAAAACACCCAACACCTCGATATATTTCCGCAACAGTGTGACGCAGAATCCATCACCTGCGTGTTTCCCTGACTCCTTTTTCTACAAGTCCATTAGCATTCGTCTTCACCGGATAATTGTGTGTCGATTGGCCTCCTTTTCTCCTATATGTTTTTTAGGCTACTGCTATGAGGGGTGTTAACGGCAGTCTATTTGTCTCGGAGACCTTGTTAACACTGCCTGACCATTTATAAGGAGTGCTTGTGCTAACCAAATCAATGGGATGTATTGGCCTAATCAAGTTTTGCACCCCTGTTAATGCATCAGTGTGTGTGCAATTTCAGGCAGGGTAATTGTGTGATGAATGGGCTGTCCCAATCTGGCACATGGGCAAGAAGGCTATCATCATCAACCATTTTACCTTCTGTGTTCTCGTCACTGGTCATTCCTGATGTGTTATGCCATGCTACATTTTGAAAAAGTTTCAACATGTAAAGAAAACCATCATGTAGTAAGATTGATGACCAAGAGTGAACTTAGTATCTTAACACGTGTAGTTGAGGAGGCTATATTGAACCATGTCAAGATGCAGATATTAAGCCTTTTATTTTTATTTATTCTTACCAACATAATACAGTTAAAAAGAAGATAACAATGACCTGCACAGAGAGGTGGTTTTCCAGTCCAGCTCCCATCAGATCTACAGGTTCTGTGCTCTGATCCTCCGACCAAGTAGAAGCCAGGCTGACAAGTGTAGATCAGAGTGTAACCCAGAGAGGGCAGTTCAATGGCCCTTACATCAGCCTGGGCAGGCAACTCAGGCTGACTGCAGTGGTGGGCTATAGGGTGAAACACAGGTGTGTGATTATTATTTGATCGTCCATTTTCTTGCAGGATTGCAGGGACACAGTTTAAGCACAGTCACCAGACTTCCCTCTAGCTCATGCGGGTGAATCTTGAGGCGCCCCCAGGCCAGCCCATAGTCCCTCTAACATGTCCTAGGTCTTCCCCGGGGCCTCTCCCTGGTAAAACATGCCTCCTAGGATGTCCAGGAGGCATCTGGAACAGATCCCCAAGCAAGCTCTACAGGTTTCTTTCAAGGCTCTACTTCTCATCCAATCTCTAATTAAGTGCCTGGTACAATTGCTTGCATCTGCGATATCGTACGTTCGGTCATTACCCATGACCATGGGTGAGGGAAGGAAATTGGACTCAGCTCCCCCTAAACCACAACAGTCTGATACAGTGACTGCACACGCTGTGCCAATCATCCCTCCCTCCCTCTTGAACAAGTTGAATTGCTTTTATTTGTAATTTGTGCATAATGTATCATTCTTACCTATGCACTCAGGTTGAAAGCCGCTCCATGTTAGATTAGGGAGACAAGTTCGAGATATTGATCCTTGCAATAAATAGCCCTTTCTACAGTTGAAGAATACAGTACTGCTTATCTGAAAAGAAAAGTAAAGCAACAATCATAAATCTCTGATTCAAATTTACATACTAAAAACTCCACTTTATGCTCCGTAACAAATATTTGTTTTAAAGGGTATAATGGCTTGACATGTATTATCATGTATTAATGTTAAGTAAGAAAGGAAGAATAAAAATGTCAACATGATTTTTTTCTCTCTAAAAATATATGTTACAGATTTTCAGATTAGAAAAAGAAAAATAAGTGACTTTGTCACACCTGGAAGCCTTGAGTGTTGTTCTGATTGCCAAACAGTGGGGTTCCTGGGTCTCCACAGGTAGTGTGAGAAGGGTCTGAAATTAATGCAAAGAAGAAAACAATAAATCCAATATGGATTAGCCCTTTGAAAATAAACACAAAACAGCAATTGAAAACCATATGCCTAAATTCACAATAGCACAAGAAAAAACATATTGATCAGATTTGATCTCACAGAGGCATACATTCTAGAATGTGTGAGTATCAGATTTATTAATTGAGATGCAGAAAAGTAATCTATCCAAGGACTTAGTTGTTGGTTTCAAATGGTGTCGCTTCAAATTATGTCATTCAGGAAGAGAATGTTGAGGTTGTATCTTGGAACAACAATCAATCCAATTGAAGTTCACCTGAACACTGAGTCTATTGTAAACAAGGACAACAACATATACGTTTTGAAATATCATATGGTTTCAATATTTTAATGAAACCAAGACAATTCTTAACATTTACTGATTGTGAAGGACAAAATTTCCAGAGCATTGTGAAAACTTGCTCTACATTGGGGTTCAACGCAGAAACCACCATTCTCTGTGGGAGGAGCAGGTGCATCCTGGCGCAGCCCCAACATCCACAGATTGCTGTCTATTGGGTGTCATATTAACGCCCCCAAACAACTCGTTTTTCCAATTATTTTGTGCCATTTTCTACAGTTTTGCATTCTCTATGGGGGTGTATTTTGAACGTGTATTGTATAATAATGCTTTTAATATCTGTATAAAAAGCATATAAATGATCATTTCTGGGTCGGGGGGTGGCTGTCAGAGATGCCACCCAGTACACATAGCACCAGCCCCTCACTGATCCTCCTGCAGGTGGTGAGTAAACAGGAGCCTTGATCTTTCAGCGGGGGCTTCAGGCAAAGTGTCTTGCCCAAGGACACAACGACAGCAGTCAGTGGGATGACTGCTTTATGTTAATTTACCTTTGGCATCAAGGTTGTTTTCAATAAAGACATGGACTGGTTATATGTGTACTGGGTGGCATCTCTGGCCACCCCCCAGACCCAGAAATGGATTAAGGGGTAGAAAATGGATGGATATAGACATTGCATTGTTGTCTTTAGTACCTATGCACGAAGGTTGCGTGCCGCTCCAAATCCCATCATATTGGCAGTAACGTCTGGCAGACCCCACTAACACAAATGGTGAGTAGCAGGAAAATGAAACAGACGACAGGTAGGTGAACCCTCGGTCCTCTCGTCTGCCCTGGGCTGGTATACCAGGGTCTCCACAGAACACAGCTAAAAATAAAAAAATTAAGAAGGAGCTTTACAATTTTCTGCAAAAGTATAGCATCAAGAATAATAACGCCTTTAAAACAGCTTACGGAAACATTGAGGTTTCTCTCCACTCCAGTTACCATTGCCTTGACATGTTAGCACAGTGGGCAGGGAGAGCTGATAGCCCTGGTTGCAGGCATAGCTGATGCTTGAGCCCCAAATGAAATCAGTGCCGACAACTTGCCCATTGGGGATGTTGGGTGGTGGACCGCACACAATGGCTAAAAAGCACAAACAAATTTACTCTGAACTTAGTGACCAAAAGGTTATGTGAGTGAATATGCATGAAAAAGGTTGATTTATACCTTTACAATGTGGTTTGGTGCCGTTCCAGGTGCGGTCCTTGGTGCAGATGAGAGTAGAGGCTCGGTCAGCATCCATAGTAAAACCAGGTGAACACTGAAAGCTGACCGTGTGGTTGTATGTCAGGTCATTTCCCAGTCTCACACCATTGGCTGGCACTCCCGGGTCGCCACAGTTGATCACTAAAGACAACACAAACTTAAAGTCAATCATTGATGTTGTTGTTATTCAAATGACATATGCAAATTTCCATAAACATAAAATATATGTTTTTTGGTCATACTACTTTATACACATTTTGCACTGAATTGTAGTAGACTAAATGCAGCAGATAAGCAATGCATATTAAATGTAAACAAGTTCATGATGTCTTTTTCATGTTCAAGGTTTAGTGATGGCGTCTCTCTTTGCAGCTGTGGTGAGCAAATCAAATGCATGCAGTCAGAAAGATTGGGCAAATCCGTCCGAATATCCACGAACATCACTTAATGGACTGGGACAATCCAAAACAGTAAGAACGGAAGAACATAAATACTAAAGATGGATTCGAGAGATGATTGACATCAGGAAGCAGGGCGCACGGACCATCGACAGAGACGAGGGGGCTTTCACCTTGGCACTCAATTCTCCAGATTCCACAGCGCGGTGGGGGACGTATCTACCTAATTTGTCACACTCCGGTAACAACAGCCCACAAATGCGGAAGTCTACAGCTGAAACAGTAATCCATTAAATGGTACAAGCTTCTTAACACTTCACACTTTTGTCCAATCAAAAAAACCTTCTAAGCAATGCATCTTAAACCTCAAATGTAACGGGTATTAAAATTCACACACCAAAAAAACATCAGTAATTGTTATCGCTATATTGAGGCTTATTATGATGAATATCTCCTATCCTGCAAAGTGGAATAGATGTGCACTGCAGAGATAAGATGCAATAAAATGAGAACCGTCAATAACAATCCATTCCAAAGTATAACATTACGTCTATCTAATTGTACAACGACTGCAAATGAACAGCTTCTGTGTGCACATTATGACAATGGGTCAATAAAGCAGACACTTATAGAATAATCTCCAAAACAAATAGCGCCATGTAAATTGTAGCCTATAGTGCTTATTATCTTGATACTCTTATTTCTTTCTACTCTTTTGGACTATATTTCCTGTATAAATGTCATGTTTTGTGAATCTTATTGCTTCTGAGGCATACAGGCAGCTGCAAAAACTCTGTTCATTGCATGCGTGGGTCTGAACTCCTCAACATGTAACCTTTTGCTCTCTTGGATTACCGACTTCTGAAATCTGTAATGGCACTGCTTAGGCTTTATCCCCTCTATTCAGGAGAAAGTGCGCCTGAATGACCCCTATTTGCCAGGGTCAGCCAGCTCTGTACTGCTGCAGCATTTTGGTGAATACAGGAAAAAGGCACTCATAGTCATCTTGCTATTGAGGGGACTGTGACATGAACTAAAAGAATGTCATGGACAATGTTCTTTTGTATTCTTAGGGACAGCATATTTAACAATAAAGCTGCACAATAGATCGTAGCTGTTGCGTTATAGTAGTCTCTGCTAGTAAAAAGCATTGCAGTAGATATACTTTTTTTATAAAGCTCATCTGTTATTGCTCTACAGTTTGGAGGAACTCAGCGTTAAGTACAGGAAGTGTAAGATATATTAAGGGAAACGCATATTCAGCATAATAAAAACAGCCATATTCATGAAATATATGTAATTGGAACCTTTTACACACCATAAATGTACCAATTACATGCAAATCAATTACATTTATTTTTGTATAGCCCTAAATCACAACAGTAGTTGTCTCGAGGAACTTGTTGATTTGCCAACAAAGAATAAATCGGGTTTGAACACAGGAAATACAATAATAACAAACACATAGGTCCGTTGGTCCATAGGGGGCGGATGACCAATGTCCATAAATTGTCCTGAATCGTTCTGGATCATCACCACTTTCCTGAGGCCCTCCTGAATCAGCAAGAAACAACTTGAAAAACATGAATTTCATGTTTTTCATTTAGACGCAAAAGGATGGATAGGTAACAATGAGAATGAAAATGGAATTGAAAATCTTACATGAGCACTCAGGCATGTTCCCAGTCCATGTGCCATTAACGGTGCAGTGCCGGGTGAGGAGCCCAGTGGAGTAGTAGCCCTCCCTACACGAGTATGAGATGGATTTGGAAAAAGTTAAGCCATCGTGGATCAGAATTTGGGAGTTCTTTGGAGTCCCTGGATTTCCGCACGAAATTACTGAAAGAGAAAAGAGGTATAAATGAATAAAAAGGACCTTAGGTAAAATCAAGTGTGTCTAAAGGTCTATGAATACTGATGGATGAAGGATTTCTTCCATTTTTGAGGATTAGAAAGAAGAGTGTTATAGCCCCTAACTATACAACGTTAGTTTTAGTTCTGATAATGTAGCCTTACTTTGGCTGCTTTACAGGATAATCATAAATCCACCAGTGTCTGCCCATTTGCCCGCCCCGCTGAGTTCATCACAGTCTCCAGCTTGCCCCAAGTTCTCCCAAGCAGTGCCCTCGCGTTACCACCAGATGTGGTCTGGTCCTTGAAGTCACTGCCAACCGAGAACAGGTGGGCAACCTTGGCCACCGGGCATAGTTCACGGCACGCTAGAGAGGGCATTAAACTAAGTGAAGCACAGGCAGCACCGGAGTGACAAGTGATTTGGAAAATGTGTCGGAAAACAACAGTAGTGCAATTTAATTCCCCCGCTCAAAACTGCTTATTTATGAACTTATTCTTGACGCTACCTATTCATACAAATAAAATAAAAATTGTACTCCCTTTTATAATATATTTTTTTGTCAATAAGTGCACTTTGCAAAAACTGAAAATTGGAAGTCAGCATTTCAGATTTATGCTAAAATCTGGAACATTGTTCCTGAAAATGTGAGACAAGCTTCTGAAAGAATTGAAATGTAATATTTTAAATTAGTGAATATATTTCAATGTTTCCTTTCTTGTTTTGTATAGCACCTAAAGTTGTGTATGAATGGTGCTATACAAATAAACTTGCCTTGCTTATAAACAATTGTCAAAAAAACAGTGACTATTCACTCACAAGTGTCTTACTCGATTAAAAGTAAACCCCATTGCACCACCACTGATCACCTATGCATATAAGGAACATCTTGTCAAAAGATGTCCTAAAGGTGACCCTTTTCCTGTGATGGGCGGCACGGTGGCTGAGTGGATAGCACGCTCGCCTCTCAGCAAGAAGGTCCTGGGTTCGAATCCCGGCCGGACCAGGGCCTTTCTGAGTGGAGTTTGCATGTTCTCCCTGTGTCTGCGTAGGTTTCCTCCGGGTACTCCGGTTTCCCCTACCACTAAAAATATGTACAATAGGTCTGGCATGCGCCTCCTGTTCGGCGACCCCGCTCCCATCTCTGTGTGGAGTGAGAGGACAAGTGCCCAAAAAAATAACAATTGTAAACCGCTTTGTGACTCTGGTCTGTGAAAGGCGGTATATAAATAAAGCTTACTTACTACTTACTATGAATATCTTTTTGCTTGAAATGTCAGTCAAGTTTAAAACATGTACATTCCTGAATTATGAATGATTTATACACGCCTCTCCATAGGAAAACATGTTTTAATCTAATGAAGTCAAATGCTTGTCTCCAATGCAGAGAGGGAAAGTTCATTCACAGACAAATTGGAGAAACGTATGCAAACAGTGAGCCTGCCAGAAGGACAGGACAGGACACCGTTATGGAAAAAGTCGGATTCAACCATCCAACACTGGGGTTATTGGATCGCTGGGACGATCCTATGTAAGAAAAGTTTCAAAAACTTGCAAGTTTTGTTGAATGGAGAACATCCAAATAAAGAACTTACCATGGCACTCCGCTTGTGAGCCAATCCACGTTCCATTAGCCAGACATGTTCGCTCTGGGGAGCCCTTCAGGGTGTAGCCAGGTTCACAGCTGAAGCGGACCACACTGCCCACAGTGAACTGCTCTCCCAGACGAATGCCATGGACAGGAATGCCTGGATCACCACAGAGCCCAGAGGAGTCTCCTGTAAAAACATAGTCATTGTCATATTAGTCACTGTGACTTATTACTTTTTTAATAATTTATGTATTTGTCCAAGTCTTCATTTTCAATACATTATATACGTATACTGTCTATATATTTGTGCAGCATAAACACACATGACTAGAAGGAAGAAACATGCCCTATGTATTATTTCCCTTATTTTTCCCTCAATATTTAAAACATCCCTCCCCAAATGTACACTGTTTAGTAACCCCTTACAAACATATCACATTTTACAATCTGCTGGTGCTCTAACAGTGGTCTGAAAAAGGGAATCTTGATGACGTTTACTGCCACTAGTAAAAACAATGGGACTTGCAGGGAAACTAAATTAAAGTCATGAATTGTAACATTGGTCTGACCTCATTTTATTTATTATGGTATCAGCTCATGAGCCACTATGATACACACACTCATAGCAAAGAGGCATATTAGGATCCAAGATAAGAAAGAAGAGTGTGCGTATGTGAGGGTATAATACTGCATCCTCCATTTCAAGTAGCCAAGTTTACATTGACACTCATTTATCATTTATCTCGATGCCTGCGATGTCATTTGTCACAATCGTCATATTAAATTGCTTACAGCTTCACAGTATTTAGAAAGCCCATAACATGATTATCTTCCTGGAGATGTACTGAATATGTCACAAAAACGCCTGTTCAAATGACCTAAATGTTCCAAAATATTATTGTTAGTGCCACCATTTCAATCAATTTGGCCGTGGTGTGGCGTACCGGAGCAGTGTGGTGGGGAGCCGCTCCACTGGCCGTCCAGCTGGCACATGCGTGTGGTGTTTCCGATGATGGTGCGCTGGCCCATGCAGCTGTGGCGGATGACCGAGCCCACAGTGCGCCGGTCGCCTGAGATCTGGACGTACGGAGGCATGCTGGGCCGGTCACACAGCACCACTGTCCAGACACACCAGAATCAACTAAGGTTCTATCAGAAGACCATGTAATTAAGTATACATTTCATAAAGAAGAAGCATGGCACGGCACTGAAAGAACAACAAATCAACTGTAATAAAATCCGACTAGTTGCTCGTTCTCATAGCAGTTTTGTTCAATCTATATAGTTTTCACATGTATGTAAGTCTGGCCTCTGTCACATATTATGATCAGCTATTTCAGAGAGTATCAGCCCTCACTCAGCCAATCAGGTCTCAGTCTGTAAGATACTGAGATATATATTTTACTACCAATTTAGAGACAGAATATTGTTGTCTGATTTGTCTACAAAATCTTACATAAACAAGGTTTTCAGTATTTGTATGTATTGTTGAAGGGATCGTTAGGTACTGCAACTTTAATTGGAAAAAAATATGGCAAGTATCAAGGATAAAAAAGCTTTTTTCACATAAAAATATTACCAGGTGAATCCACAGCCATTTCACCACTATAAGGGCAATACTGCTAAGGACAAAACTGCTCTGAGCATAAGGTAATAGGGTTACAATTTAATACTAGCGTTACAGGTTTGAGGCAGGAGTATTCAGACAAAAGGACCAGAGTTAAATGTTTGTGCCAGAAGTTCCTGATATTAGTGTGTACGGATCTGAAAACAAAATCCAGGTCTGTTTGTAATTGGGGAACAATTTTTTTAACATGGTTAAAAGCTCAAAAAACAGGAATTTGTAGTCTGATTGATCCATCCATCCATCCATCTATTTTCTACCCTTTAATCCATTTCTGGGTCAGGGGGGTGGCAGTCAGAGATGCCACCCAAGTCTCATAGCCAATGCTCTACCAACTGAGCTACTGTCGCCCCTAGTCTGATTGAATCTAATTGAATTTTCAGCTTTATATATAAGATGATTATGCCTTTTGCAGAAATATAAGAATAACTCACATAAGCACTTGGGCAAAGAGCGGTCCCAGGTGCCGTCACCCTGACAGGAGATGGAGCTGGTTCCCAAGAGGTAGTAGCCAGGGTTACAGCGGTATGCCACAGTGGTCTGAAAGCTGAAGCGATGTGGCCCACTGGAGAGGACCTGCCTAATGCTGTTTTCCACATGGCCTGGCTCTGTGCAGTTCACAACTAGAAACAAAGCAAGAACAGATGTATCCAATTTGACAAAATGAAAACAAAGCCAAGATAAGAGTGTTTTTTCTTTTTTTCTCTTTTGTGAAGAAGGGTGAGGCTCTGATTGTGTGTGTAAAATGTATTTCCTTTTGATAAAGCAGACTCCTTTGTTTCTAATTCTTTTGCCATTTAGCCACTGGAATATTTTCCAAAAAAAGCATATGGTAAACAAGTTGACAAGAAGATTTTGTCCAAGCGTAATTTTTGAAGAGACCCTTTTTAGTGCCCCCCTCCTCTTCCACTGCTTTTGCTTCTTAATTCAGCTATCCATCCACCCAAATCCAAATGGGGAGGCAAACTCCGGAAATAAACATTTGCTTCATTAGAGTCAGTCTCCTGCTGCTGCTGAGATGCTGATGGATTGAGGAGTCGCGGGGGAAGAGGCACCAGATGGACAGAGTTAGGAGAAGGAGATGAAGAAGGACACATGAAGCTAAAGCATCAACAGGACGGGCTACTGTTACACAGGAGGTCGGCATTAAACCAGAGAACACTACATTTTGTTATCTTTCAATATCTCACCATTGAAATACAAAAATAAAACAAGAAGTGAGGGCCAACACTTCAGTATGGTGCATTACATAAAACCAATGAAGCACTTTAAGCTATATTTAGATCTGTTTAACTGTGCATGATTTATTATTTTATAGATTATACATTATTACTTGAATGCCTTGTATTATCTTGTTTTGTTTAGCACTTTGCTCTGCTATACAAATACACTTTCCTTGCCTTGCCAAAACAGACATTTTAGGGCAAGAACAAAATGCCTCAGTCTCATGCAACTGTGACCATACATTACAAAAGGGACACGCATATTTTTTCCACACAAAATGGATAGATAGATACCTAAATTATGGTTGGATAAATAGAATACAGTGAGTGTTAACAAACCCAGCTTCAAATACACAGTGTAGTGCCTGAGCCATTTTGCCCCAGTTTGCCTTGGCAGCAGAGCCCCCACAACTGAGCCGAAAATAAATTCATTGTATGCTAATGCGTGTTCAAGTGTTCTCATTTTTATTCTCCCATGCTGACCGCTGAAATAAATCACATGTCAAAAAGTGTAGGGGATATTTTTTGTCCAGTTGCTTGTTGACCCATAGAAACCTACCATCGCTCAGTGATACATATTTAGAATTTTCACATGACCAAATAATCAGGTAATTTCTTTCCAAACATAACATTAAACAAACCCACACAAACAAAATGCTTATCTTCAAAATTGCACTTCACTCACGTATTGATGTCATATTTTATAAATGTCTCAAAAGCCTTTGTTCCAAATCCTTTAAAGTTCCTAAATCAATCCATCAATGTTGCTGTCACTGCTTCATCACACTTGACCCTACATTCAGCTCTCTCTCTCTATGCCTGTCACATTTATGCAGCCCACGGGCAGACGTCAAAAAGAGAGAAACGGGAAAAGAAATGTTGAAATATAATTATGATTATATTTCAAAATTGTGTATGAGAGGATTAAAGGCCGAGGCCACTTTTATGTAAAGACTTACTTCTACACCGGGGCAAAATGTTGCTCCATTGCCCATTGGCCTGGCAGGTGGACTTCAAAGACCCTTGTAGAACATATCCAGTATTACAGACAAAGCGGACGACATCATTCAGATTGAACTGGTTTCCTTGCGTCATGCCGAACGTTGGATTTCCCGGATGCCCACATGTGATAGCTGAAAGAAGAAAGAAGAGAACATTTGAATTCCGGCTTAGAAAAAAAAAATACAAATACTTTTTATGTCTGTCAAAACAACTAGCAAACTTTTTTCTTTTCTTTGTGTGAAAATAGTTGTAGAAAACAAAAACATGGTCGTCCGCCTAAACTAATTCCAATTCCAGTTACATTTCCAATTCCATAGTAGAAACATGTTAGCGGCCATTATGGGGTAAGAACACTTTTTAAGTCCACTATTTATTCTATTTTCAATGAGGTTACACTTACGGACACAAACAGGTGTTCGTCCTGACCACCTGTGATCTTGCTCACAAATTCTGACCGACACCCCAATAAGACGAAATCCTGGGTTACACTGGTACACAACACTTCCTCTGTAGTTGTAGTTTTCACCGGTGATCTGACCATTCACTATGGGCTCGGGCGTGCCACAATGTCCAGCTTAGAATTATAAACAAGAACAATCATTTAGAAATGATTATGGCAAAAATACATAATGATTTAGTGATAAAGAAATCCTACCTAAGCACTGGACTTGTGACCCACTCCATAGACCATTGGACATGCATTCACGAACCCGGGATCCCACCAAAGTGTAGCCGGTGTTACAAGAAAAGATAGCAGTCGCTCCATAGACTGTGAGTGTTCCAATTTTGTGTCCGTTTGGAGGCATCCCAAGATCTCCACATGAGATGACTAAGAGAGAAAAAAAACAAATACTGTATAAAGGTTGGCTACAAGAGGAATAAGACATGATAATAAAGAAAGGGGACTTAAGCTCATATGCAATTTAGTAGTTTAGTAATGAAATCAAGAAAATATATATGAAATGTGATATAATAAATTGCTATTAAGACTTACTGTCACAAACAGGACGTGGGTCAGGGTAGTTCCAAGAGCCATTTGCCTGGCAGCGAATGACTCGTTGACCTCTGTAGTAGTAGCCAGGGTCACAGACTAGAATCATTAGTGCATCATATTGGTTTTGGGTCCCGTAGATAAGCCTCCATCTACCATACTCTACAGCATTGTGTCCAATGTCAGGGCATGTCACAGCTGTAGAAAAAAATGGGGTGAAAACAGTATTTAAAGATACAGCATTTGAAAACAGAGCACTATGTTGTTCTAGGTATCAATACGTTACTTGAAATACAAGACAAGACAAGATAGACCTATGCTAAAAAACAAACAAAACCACTTACAAACGCATCTAGGGGGTGCTTCGATTGAGCTCCACCTTCCCGACTCCTGGCAGGTCACAGAGGTGGTCACGGGTCCTGCCAGTCTAAACCCGGGGTTGCATTGATATGTGGCTCTGTTCCCTAGAGAGAAGTCCTGCCCAACAATACTGCCATTGACAGGTGGCACAGGCATTCCACAGGACATGACTGGAAAGAGAAGAGGCTCCAGAGTGAGAGGCAAACTTGGCAGACAAAAACGTAGGTAGCAAAGTGTATTTAATAGGGATATTTGTATGCAGAAGACCTATCCCGCAATGGGCCTTTTGTACAAACACCATCCCTGAGTTGGTATTGATGTGCAGTAAACATTAGCACGGGCAGCCATCTGCACAACAGTAAACAATCAAATCTAGGGAGAGTGCAAGAATTCATGTGGTGATTACACCTGGTGCAGAGTTGACCAAACAGTAATGGCTTCTCTCCTGCTCATAACACTTGAAATGATGCTTAAAGTGCAACAGGATGTAAACTTTATGGTGCACGTCAAACTCAAATCAAGAAACAATCTATATGGGAGAATGGCTTCCAATAATAAGCATGATGCTACAGTTGTAAATAATTCATATCATGCATTTATTCTAAAGCTGATAATGCAAGTTTGGACTGTTACCTTGACACAGTGGCACAGGTGCGTTCCACTGGTAGATGCCATAAGCGTTGCGGGTACAGGTGGCACTGCTCTGACCGATCAGCCGAAAACCCTGATCACAGCTAAAACGCAGAGTGCTGCCCAGCTTGGTGCCTGTCAGACTGTGAACGGTGCCATTCAAAGGGTTGTTGGGAGGACTGCAGTAAGCAGCTGGAATGAAAAACATAACATTAGTCCTCAAAGTGATCTTGTGCAAAATGTAACCCCATTCCCACTGAGCAAAAACCATGGGTTGCCTCTTCCTTACACACTGAGCAACACAAGCTTAGCTATCAGATCAACTTTGGTGCCTTGTGAGGATGTCTTTTGAGCCAAGCCAGTAATATAGCAAAATACATGTTAAAAAACGGTTGAATAGCCTGCTGCTTTGCTTATTTGTGGGTCAGAGGAAAAACGTGATACAACTACTACAAGTCACACAGGGGACAGTGGTTTGAACATGGTTTGTATTCGTCCACATGGATGATAAACTTGCCGTTGTCTTTTATAATGCAATTCCCAAAGCACCTGGATCCACTGCACTGTCAGGATTAGGCTTTGAGTATTTTATTTTGACACTTCCTTCCTATACTAGTCTTCACTGGTCCAAAAGAAAAAGTGTATGACGAAATAACTGTGGCCGAAAGATCTTTATGAATAAATAATTGACTGCAACTTGAGAGTGCAATGCTTTCTTTTCATGATATTTTCCAGCATCTGCTCCTCCGAAAAATGTGTTTGTTCCTGTCTTCCCCATCTTGAAAATCCAACACGGGGCAAAAACATACCAACCTTTCAAACAGTGGTCTACAGTGTATAAACACCGTATGATTGTGCAACCCTGAAGACCGGTCTACAATGGATCAGCCTATTATTTGCTACTTTGTGTCTTTGCCAAGCAGGGGACGTTCTCCATAGCACGAGCCAGGATCATTGTCATATTGCAAGTTTGGCCAACATGTTTCAAGTTCATGTGGAAAATGAATAGGAGCTACTATGCTCATACAATTCAAATAACCCTTGGGCTGGGCTGTTTGGAGACACCATGTTTCCCATAACAATGGTAACTATTTTCCCAGTGACAAGAAATCCACCTTATTTTGACAGTGCCCCAGATCATAGTTCTATTTTGGCAAAAGCATAGCCTGCAAGTTAAATTGGCACTTAAAAGTTATGTTGAAATAATCCACTCAATCATTAATGACATCATAATTTGTTATTTCTGTACTAATGACTCCAAGTAAACAGTGGCTGTTTTCTAACAAAGCCACTTTCTGCCCGTCACAGTGATTGGCAGCTGCTGAGGCACCCTTGAGTTCAATTTTCACTCCGCCCTGTAGCTAACCCATTTTTGTGTTACTCGCTTTTCTCCTGTCCCTCTGTCTGCTGCTGTATACAGCTTGTCTCACAGTAGTCTGCCCAACAGCCTGAAATGTGATCCAGACGGGCATCTGACTTGATTGGAATAGATAAAGAGAGCGGAGGAGGAAAGCCGCTGGTGACATGGACAAAAGAAGGAATGTATAAAATAGAAAACAGTAAGTCAGGGGAATGGAGATCTCCGTGCGCCAGAAAACAATCACAGAATTCTTCTTTTCGCTATCTTCCTTTCTGCAGGCTGACGTAGTACATGTTTCTTTCTATTGTGCTCAGTAAATATAGATTACAGGCCCTAACAGAAAATACCACTGTGACTTCACGAATGATGTCTGAAATTGTGGATAGTTGAAAAAAAGTACCTGACTTTCAAACCACAACAGCATGAAACTTTATAATAAAATCCATGGTTCTATAAGGTTTTCACACACATACATATTTTAGCCTCCGTCACATCTTTAGATCAGTTTTCAGACATACAAATGAAAAAGGGAGGACCAATACGCTCTCTGCCCAAAGTGTCAAAACGTGTTTGATTTGTTCTCAACATTCTCCTTTTACAAGTTGATTTCTTTTATGACAAAAATAATCTAATGAAAAAACACATGTTAGGTATTCCAGCTTAATAGTACAGATCTTTCATGTAACTATGCCCCTTCTGTCTAAAAGCTTCTGTCTCAGTCCTGTAATAGTATGATGTCATTGATGTCATCACACTCAAATAGAAAATTGCTGCCTAAATTAGTTTTGGCAATTTCTCAAGTGAAAATATGTTCTGTACAATCACATGTCTGCCTTTGATTCAGTCATTCAGTCATTAATTTTCAAGTTTGAAAAAAAAGAATAAATGAATTTGCCTGTAACTCGCTATGATACTAACAGAAGGCTGTTGGTAGCATAGGGAGTGATAGGTATTATTTCCCATTCTCAAGAAATTGCATAGTAAAAAGCCTCTTCATCATCATCATTGCCAAAATTTATGCATAATATAATTTCGATAAAAAACCTAAAAATAATACATTTCATATGCTATCTGCAGCTTTTCAAATACCCTAAACTTCTCAAAAGCTTTGCAAAAAGAGTGCTGTGTTTTATCAGCTGGCTTTATATTATACTCCTACTTGGCAGGTGACAAAGTTTAAATAAAGTAAAAATAGGCAGGTGAAGTGGGGCAGAGAAACCCCAGAACATCCGGCTGGGGAAACACAGTGCTCCGCGGAGAGGATGAGAGAGACGATTAGTCAATACGGCTGAATGCTGTTGATACACAACATGGGGAGCCTTTTAAATATTTACACAGCTATAACTCATTGCCTGTTATGCAGGTGTCGTGTAGCACCACATCTTTCACAGGAGCCCAACAAAACAGAGCAATAACAACCAGAGGAGAGAGATTGCAGAAATCCCATGCCCTGTAGAGCTCTATTTTCCACAGGTTACTCATCCTACGTATATGTTGTCATAGCAATAGGCCGTATTTAAGGCTGCTTTAGACTCGCTGGGTCGCAGAAGTTTTAAGCCTTATTCAATGACACAAATCGAATAAAGGGGAAACTTGAATTATTAGAATATCGTTCAAAAGTCAGACTCATTACTCAGATTAAATGAGATATGTTAAGCCTGTATTTCTTAATAATGTTAATAATTGGCACACAGCTTGTTAAAATCCCACCAAAAACATATCTGAAAACGTTAATATTTTGAAAATGGAATGGAAACCATAATCAACCATAAACATAGAATTGGCAGATGTGACTTTTTGGGTTGTTTATATATTGCTTTCACAATTTAAGTTGAATTTGAAAAAAATAACTTAAAAAAAAATAACATAAAAAATGTTAAAATCAGTACCTTTTAGTGATATCTGAGTCCTTTTCTATCTGATGAAATTGAGTGAGATTCCAGAAGTGTACTGTATATGCTCTTGTTTTTTTTTTTTTATATTTCCCTACACTTGTGTACATTATTTGATAGCTTTTCTGAGATAAGGATGTTAACATCCAATGCAAGATGGGATATAGAGTCACTTTGTTTTTCACAATTTAAAGAGAAGAAAGCTATCACTCAATCTAAATAGTTTGAAGTTAACTGATTATGTTTTGACACATTTCAAAGAGTTAAACCTTAACCTTTTATTCTGCCATTCCTTTGATCTCTGAAATGAAATAGTATACATGAAGGGGATTAGGTCTAATAGACTGCTGACCAACTGTTGGTTTTGAACAATTTGCATTTAACAGCAGGTAAAAATTATACTGAAAATGAGATTTAGGGACCTGCAATAAAGCAAAAAGCTCCAGGTACAATGCATATACAATCCCTAATAACTATTGGTAACGTATATTTGTGAGTTTGAACTAGTTTCCACATCTGTTTTCACTTTTCCTAGAGCGTGATGGTTATATTTAATCAAACAGCCGACACATGATCAAAAGTAAGAATAATGGACCCCAGGCAGTGCAACAAGATTCTTACCTGAGTAACGAATGCGAAAGCCTTTATGACTGGTCGTGTGATCGAAGGACCAGTGCAGGTAGACTTTGTTACTGGAGCTGGTTATGCTCAAGGGGTTGGAGTAGTTTCCACTTAATGTAATTAGCAGAGGGCTCTGTCTGGATGGACCTGAGGAATGGAAAACAACAAAAAGCAACCGTTTTAAGCTTCTAACGAAATGATGAATTCCAACATTTTTTTATATGTCCAAAATACTATTGTATGCAGCCTCAGTTCCTAAAGAAAATAGCAATACTACAATGCTCGTTTTTAGTTAAATATAAATCCTTCAGACCAGGTTGCACATCCGATAAGCACAAGACATGCTTAAATTATGATCAAGCTAAACCATGTCTTAAAGATGTAGTTTAGACCATTGCATTTATTATTTATGTTGCATCAAATGTCTTCAAAAGAACTTTCAGCATGACCTTCCAATATCTAAGAAACTATCTCTTTTATATAGGCTTTCCTTTAACTACTTTATCGTGGTTTAATTCACTTTAACTCTTAGTTTGACATAAACAAAAGGCCGAGAATAGAGTTAAAATGGTAAAAAGACCTCTCAGATCGCGGTGAGATGGTTACTTATAGAGCTCTATTGAAACTGCTCTTTAATTGGATAAAACAATTCATCAAAACGGACCTAAACAGGTCATTCATATTTCAAAGAAGACAATACAATGGAGTATCTTCAACAGGGTCAATAAGAACACAGCTGCGATGTGAGGCGGATGTCTTTCGCTGTGTCACAAAATAGTGTTAATGCAAATAATGGGATGATATGGGAAAATAGGCTCCATGATGGTCACTGTTAAACAATCATATTTGCTATAAAACATATATTACAATTGTGATTGCCTTGAGTTAGGAAGTGTCCTCTCTTGTTTAGCTGGCAAATAAAAAGCACTAATCAGCAAAGGCTATATGACCACCATTTTCTCCAGGCGCCTCGCAGAGTTGCTGACACCACCTTTGATCATATGCAAATGTGTACGAGCTGCGGCAGGAGTGAAAGCGGCGGTGTGTGAGAACTTCACAACCCGTATTCCATACACTGTATTTGATCATCATGAGCATTCCCCCCTGTTAATAATCATAGACTGCATATAGCTGAACAATGCTAAACCTCAAGCTAAATGAGGCCCAATAAGGGAGTGTTCATAGACAAAGTGTTGCTCCTACTCGCGCTGGCTCGTCTTGACTTACATTGAAAAGTGAACACCTATAGCTTAGTAACGGTTAGTGTCTCACTCACCACCTTTGACAAAAATCCATGGTTTGGTGCACTCTGATTCTGGGGTTTTATTTTGATATTGTCTTTGTGAATCCTGTTATTACCCTTATAAGGATAGACGGATCAGATGTCCTTATGCATGGGGGGAAACTCCAGCTTTCCTTAGCAACTATCATGGCAACATATCTGCCCCTGTTACAGCGCAAATCTTACCCGGTCGAAATAAATGACCAGATAAAGAAATCGGCTAAAATCGGCATTCACTATGGGTGCTGACCTCACCCATAGTGTGTCCTACACTATGGGTGATGTCAGCACTCCTAATAAACAATCTTTGTTTATCAATAACACAGATACGTACCATCAAATATTTCTAGCTCATCAAATTGCCTGCTGGTCTGGAAATGCTCAATAGTGAAGGTTATGTTGTAGCCGGGCTCCACTTTGACGACCCACGAACAGGACTCGAAGTGAGGGAAGCTGCTCCCTGGGGACTGGCTCATGATCATCCCAGTGGAGGCCGTCAGCACTTCATTCATCGGACATGTGACTGTTGGAGGACACACAACATACATGTCATGATTCAAAAGGAAATGGGACCTCGAATGGGAGATTGTTGTGAATGAAAAATAAAATGATGAAAGCGAATCCAAAAAAAGAAAGTTAAAAAACCCAAAATAAGACAGGAAATAAAATTATTGAAAAATTGAAACTGTGATAAATACGTGTGGATGAGTGGATGTAAAGAAGGAAAGTGTTTTAGACATTGAATTAACATACACAAGAGCCTTACTTTGAAATTACACAACTGCTCATTTAAAAAAGGTGTAAAGTCATTCGAGCAACACCTACATTTCCTGAATTTCTCCTACGGGGATCAATAAAATATCTATCTATCTATCTAAATACCGCTGTTGGGTATTTGAAAACAACACTAAGTAGATAAAGATTTATTTAAAGCTGTGATACCAAACACTCGGACACTCAGCCAATCAGCTCTCAGCCCAGAGCATCAAGAATAGTGACTCACAGGGCTTCTTCTTACGTATGCAAAATTATAACACATTTTCTGATAAGATAATAACAGTATGTTTTGGTTTGATTAGTTAGGTATTGAGTATATGCACACAAACGCCCTATTTTAAAATAACACTTCTTATTAAAAAAAAATGGTTTGTCTCCTTCTTTAGCAGTGCCTGTAAATGCAGATGTTGAAATTATTCAAAGTGCACATTAGATGAGACGTTCACTGTTTGAGATCACGAGAATGTGCCTATAAATACGGCAGAGCTAATTGTCATTCGGGTCCTGTTGCAGCAAACAAATTGTGCATGCTGGACAAGGCCATTAGGCTGTCGTTTTAGTGACTTTCCCTGGGCATGTGTGGCAGATGTGGCACTAAAATGGCCAGCAACACATCTGCCTGTACACCTCATTACAGGAACAGCCCCCTACCTCATTCTGCTCCATCACTGTAATTCTTACTGGACATCTCTGTGATATCCATTGACATTGGCTCTGTTTTAGTCAGCATTTTCACACGCCCCCTCCCTATCTATCCACAGACAGGGGAAAACAATGTGCGGATCTAATGAGGAAAAGCAAAAGCATCCGCAAAGACATAAGCATCAACGTCTCCTTTTCCATTGTGGCATTTTTTCAAAAGAAGTAATGAAAAGGGGAAAATCAATAAGTGAGCGCACAAGGGATATTGCAAAATATATATATATATATTTCAGAGTGCAGACTTTCACAGATGTGTTTTGCCTCAACTTGAAAGAAATTCTGCAACTGCCACTCAAACCAGAGCAACACCTTTTCTATTAAAACTGTGCTTATTTTTCACTAACATGTAATTCACTAACAAGATTGACACAATAAAATGACATATCCATGGTTCTTTGCTAACAGTAAATACAAATGCATTTTGTAGTGGAGAGTAGCATGTAGAGTGAGAATTCAACAACATAAATCTTTTATGGATGATTATTTGTTATTTTTTGTCACTGTGAGGATGTTCACTACATCTCATCAGCTCTTCTAATATCACGGCTATGTGTTCTTTTGTGCAACACATCAGCGAAAGGTTGAAGCTGCCACTTTGCAGGTTCTTCATTACAACCGTGAAAAGAGCACGCTTCATTTACAACAATACCATGTTATATCTGTTGTCTGGTGAGTTTTGGTGTGTGCGTCGACATTTTCAAATACATTAACCTGGAAATTCCAAGATAAACTATAATGCCCTTGATATAACGAGTGGACATTGTTTTGCCTTGAACACATACAGGTGAAACTCGGATAATTAGAATATTGTTAAATTTACATTCAAACAACTTCTGCAATTAACCTTTTGTGTAATAATGTTGATAATCAGAGTTCACAGCTTGTAAAAAAACCCAGATAATTAGAATATCTTGAAAATAGACAGTAAGAGTTGAATTACAGAAATAAATGCATTTTTCTGAGTTTCACCCGTTTTTACATTATTAGTAGTGAATAATTGTATAATTCTCCAACATGTTTTCAACCAAAGAATACTTATTTTTTTAAACTCCAAACACAAATACTTGTCTTGCTTTGAGATTGCCTCTGTGTTGCCTGCCATCTCAGATCCACTATTGCGCATTTACCAATACTTTCATAGCAAGTATTTAGTTATTCAAACTCTGTGATTGCATTGCAGAGGAAGATCCAAGATTATGATCCATCAAACTGTCTTCAAAAGAGATTTCAATTTGCTAATTTTTAGACTTTAATTTAACCAATCCACTTTACCATGCATCAGCTCATGCTAACTAGAAAGAATGGAGAGAAAAAATAGGATAGTTGTGGTAAAATTGAACCTCTTTCATGGTGAGAGGGTTACTTACAATGCTGTATTAAGACTGCTCTTTGATTGGACAAGGCATTACATCCTCAGAACCAGGGGAACACTAAAGCTAATGAAATAGCTTGTGATGAAATTCATATGATGCACAAAGCACTCGTCCATGTGCAAACATTTATCCATTTGAAGTACATGTGCACAAATACACAATACTGTATCAGGCTCAGCGTTGTGTCGTGCTGGTGAGCTGCTCCACTCATCTTTAATTATTACGCTCAGGGGTGATAACATGCTGGTTCAAAGCATGGGCCACTGTGCTAATATGCGGCTTATTTAAGAAGTGTTAGCGAGTGAGGGCATCAGTGATGTGAAAGGGAGATTTTCAACTAGTAAATCACATAAATACATAATAATAATGAGCCCAAAGAAGGCCAATTAAGTTTAGTCAACACACTTTTTATGAAGATTAATGAATATTGGTCATCTTGCTAAAATAATGTGAAATAGAGTCAAATATTTTTGCTATTTGTTGATAGAATAATACAGTACTCGCCAATAGTACAACAGCATGCCTGAGTACAAGTACATAACATTACTGGGCCAGAAGGAGGCAGTGGGAGTACAGGGAAAGAGCAGACAGGGAACTGTATGCAGAGGAGGTCTACACACAGTTGACGGCCAGGACAGCGGGCCACAGCCGCAATGAGACTCTGCTGAGTAACCCGCACGATACATCACCGTCCTGTGTGCGCTCGCATAGTGTGGGGAAGCAGCATGACGCGTGAACGAGCGTGTTAGAGGCTGAGAGGCGTCCCCGCGCAGGAGAGTTTGCTTGTCAGCGTGGTGATGTGATGGGTGCAGCTGCAGCCGGCATGTCCCCTGCATTTCAATGAGCTGCTGCGTGGTGTGTGTGTACTGCCCTCAAACTCAGCGTGTCCTGTCCCTCCTCACTATGCCCCTCTCCACTGTCTGGCTTGCTAATGCATTGTACTTTCGCCTCATCTGGTATTCCCTCAGTGTTTCGGGAGGCCAAGTCGAAGAGTACAAATACTAGGGCCTTGAGAGCTTCTTTATCCCTCTCTGCATATCCAAAATGTCCCCATCCTTAACCTTAAATAACATGTGTTGAATCTTCTATGATTTTTATTTATTATAAAACATGTTTTAACCATTTATAATTTTGGTGTCAGGTAGAGCCCTGCAACTTTATAAGACATAGAAGATACTAATATAATCAATAACGGAAGTAAATAACGGATACAAAAATGATGGTGGGAAGCCTTTTTGCGGTACGATTTAGCGTTTTAAGGGTAGGCTGGTTACCAAACTAATCTCCAATAATCATCCTCAGACCTAAAAGTCAATTTGTCTGGCCTTAAGTGCTGTTCAGTCAAGTTCATCAGGGCGGGACGATGGCTGGACGAAGGGGAAAAATGGGGTGTAAGATTACGACTTTTACCAAATCCAGTCAAAAAGATCCCCCCAAAAAACAGCAGAGACGTACTTTCCTTGCTGTCATGCTTAAACTTGTGGGGTTTTAACTACATATCCATGTTGTAAAAATAGATGACCAACAGGATGTGACATGCAGCCTTGAAACTTTGGATTGGATCATTTGCATCACAAAAGAGAAGAGGGGTGGACGTCGATCAAATCGATTCCATGGCCATTTCCTGTTAGATTTAGGCTGAGTTTACACGGAGACAATGTGGCAGTAAAACGGTATAGTTGGATGTCGGTTGCTACCAACCGTTCATACGAAGACAGTGTTCCAGGGAGGTGAAAACGTAAGTGTTCAGATCCAGCCTGCAGAGTGGGACAACTCAGAAACGCTGCACAGCAGGGAGCTTTTTCACACCCGCGAGAGGGGAAAAGGTGTGAAATCCCCGTCTGCTCTGACCCCCGCCTCCGCGCTGCTCCCCGCACGTAAATTTGGACATGCGCAGTAGCGGAGAACAAACATCAACAACAATGGCGCTGCCCACACAAACTAGCTACGTGGGCTTCCAGCGCGGGACAGAGGATAATTCTACTCCTTCGTTCGTCCAAACGAGACCACGCGAAGCTCTAGGTTCAGTTTCCATTTTCACAGCTGCTGTTAAAATGCAGATAGATGTTGGTGCGTTCTGAGGGTCTGGCAAAGGAAGTGAGTACACTGCCGAGAGGGGGGCTGGGCACGGGGCTCGGGGTCGTGTGTCGTGTTGTAAAGTTTATCTGCCCACTACTGGCCGGGCGCTAGAACTACATCGTTTTTCAACCTCATGTGAACGCTGAGAAATTTGCATTAGGAGCCAGGTCGTTTCTGTTAATAGCCTGGAAACGTCTGCGCAGCGTCTCAGTATAAACAGGGCCTTAGAACAGGACTGGTATGGGAAGGCACAGGCTATGTAAGGGGTTAATACGTTTGGAATTGCCGTGAGTTTGGTGAAATTGGATTGGTCAATGAACAAGTGGTTTGCTTATTTGAATACAGCTTGTTGGGTCATCTAAGCCAAACTGTTAAAAGACCCCTTCATACACCATGGCCCTTTCCCAATATAAAAGTGTATAGTACATTTGTATGGAAAAAAGCGTGGACCCTTGAGAATGTAATATCATAGGAAGCAGAAGTAAGTCCCAGGAGAGCAAAATATTCACACAAATACAAATGCAATGCAGTAGCTGCTCTCTTCTACAGGCAGCAGTGGGATCATGGGAAAAGGAAAGGCAAACATTACATTTTATCTTATGAGATATAAGTGACCCCTTGCCCTGGTGTAAAATGCTTCGGAAAGTGCTTTTTAAACCCCCTGTGAAATTGTGTCCAATTGTATAGTCACTGGAATGTTTGTGAACCACATGATTTCATCCAAAAGATTAAATCATTCTGAAGCCTTATACTGGGCACCTATACGATCTGAAAGGGTTAGGGTTAGGTCTGAAAGGAACAAATTTTAGTTCTTGAAAAATCATGTACATTGATTGAAAAATGTAATTGTTAATCAAGTTTTGCTTTATTGTTTTAGGTTTAGGGTCAGAGTGTTTGAGCTTGTGTCTTTTCTGAGTGTGCGTGTCTTGTGTGCGCCATTACAGGATATTGTATTGTGTTACTCTTCTCCTGTATTGCTTTTGTACTCATCTCTGAATGGAATGGGTTTGGAATTGTATAATTGTTTGCTTCGTCCAAGCACTTTTCAAAAGAATTTTTTTGGTATTTTGTTTTGTAAAAATATGTTTTTAAATGAACATCTTGATTGATTTTCACTTTTACTGTAAATCATCGAGTAAACTCACCATCACAAGAAGGTGGTGGCCCCTCAAACTCCAAGTGTGTCCCCAGCCTGCAGGTCATGATACTGTTTCCAGTTAACAGGTAACCCGGCAGACATCTGTAGCGGACTATATCGCCTGGAAATATATTTGTAAAAGATCAGTCCAATTTTCACACAAAACAATGTTGCATCACCATATAGGCTAAATGAGTCTTTAGGAAATCAATTCCACCTACCAATTTTGAACTCTTTGCTCGCCATGAGAATTTCTGCATTCGGAATGATGGGAGGAGGAAGGCAGAACTGCAGTCTGTATGCTATGAAGAAAATCATCAAAACACATCAGGTGAGCCAGGTCGTTTTAATAGCTATGCAGTAGAAGGCACAAACAAGCAACATCATTTACATACCTTGATAGCTAATACGAAAAAGGCCGCCTTTTTCAGTATTGCTGCGAAATCGTATTAAAACTTGATTGGATGTGCTACTTGGGGGTTCATTGGGTTCACCGTCAGTAAAAATACCCAGCTTCCGTGCCGTTTCCTGTGGCCCATCCCTATGGAAACCACCAAAGAGACAATTTACAGTCTTTCAACATCAACTTGAAAGTATCTCCATGAGCTCAATCTCCCAATATTTAGACAGCGTCTCCCCTTAAAGCTAAATACGTTTATCATTGTGCTCAATGTTTGCACAGGCTAAGCCAAAACAAACAAACATAGTAATTCAATATTTATCAATGAAGTACAGTAAAACAATATTTAGTTGGAGAGGACAACATACAAATAACCTACAAAAATCAATCAATAGAAGAACACTTTGTAATAGGAGTAAATGACAGGTCCATATCCCTGCTTAGAGCTATCCAATGGGGGAGACCTTCTGGAAGCTGCTGCCTCCATCTTGGCTGGTCCCCGGTGTGGGCATGGCCGATTAAGCCGGCTCCCAGGATTGTGGCACAACTATTCAGCTTAAAAACCATCTGTCTTTGGATGTCAGACTGGGCATAGGAGATTACAAGCAGCTCTGGAAACGGCTGGCTGGGGAGTGCTGCCTGACAGCTCTCTGGCCAAGCCACCATTACGGTGCCTATTTCCTTGGCTGGCTTGTTCAGTAGAGAGATTCACTGCAGTGGTAACTGGGAACAGGGGGCCACAAACATCTACCAGAACTTGTTAGATGTTTAAGATTGTTAAGTGATTGAATTTTTGTCTTTTCACTTTCTACCTTAGGTATAGCAGCACATAAAAGATAATGTATACAGATGGGTGGTGCTGCATGTAGTCCAGCAAAAATACTGAACAAACACACAACTCTTTGTGGACTTTGTGGCCAATAGCTTATCAGACCTCACTGAGAACAGTCTCTCTGACTGTTATGCTGTCTAAACCCTGGCTTTGGTCATACATTTTATGGCAGATTTGAGTATGCATTATGGAGAACATGAAATAGGGGTTTTGTTCAGGTACAAGACCTGAAGTAAACAAACACTTTTTCCTGTGAAAATCTTGCAGGTAAACAGAGCACATGTTTAACCTTGACAAATCCCAGGATCAAAGTATGTATTGCATTGTTGCTTTGCCATGTCTACCGGCTGTGTAAGAGCAAAGTACTGTCATGCAGAGGACATGCATGTGCTATCATTAATTCAATGTTTTAGATAAAAGAAGTGGGGTAAAAAAGTCAAGTAGGTCTACAATCCATATCCATACAGTATGTTTCATTGAGTATTCTATACAAATAATTACAGAATCCTTTATGGACAGCTCACCAGAGAGTGATGAAATCATGTGGGCCGTGGACCTGCAGCAGGGTGAAGTTGACTTTGATGCCAAAGCCTGGGGCAACTGTGATGAGCCACGAACAGTCAGCCGAGTTGGGGTACTCCTCTGGGTAATTGGGGGAGAAAATGGTCCCATTGTCTGAGGTAATGTTCCCTCCACAAGGCACTAAGGAAGACAGCAATGGAAATGAACGCTGTAATAAGTCAAATAAATATTAATAGTAAATTAGATCTAAATATTTCACAATCCCATTCTCCCTTGTCTTGTATCTACTCAGGCCTATTCTGTGTCGGGTATCCAAGCACTTGTCTGTACTAAAGATTAGCCTGTAAAGCCTGTTAGCAAGTAGAGACCGTGAGTGTTTTCCAAAGATAAGAGCCGAACCCATTCCTATTGGGGGGCAAAAATACAGTGGGAAATGATGCAAGAGGTTAAGACTTGGCCAGTGCTGCATGTAGAAAACACAAAACATATTATGAGGTTAAAAATAGATTTCGGAGAGCACATTTTCAAATTCTGGGTCACAGGGGTATAACAGGCTGCTGTGTAATATTTGGAAGCTTAAAAGATTCAACATTTAGTGAGTCTAACATTGCAGCTGGTTCCCTGAGAGATGCCTCATATTCTCTGTGGTGGAGCATGGAGAATCAGCAAGGCGTGATAATCACCAAAGTGCAGGCGTTTCAAGTAAAACCCCGAAAGGGAGCTGAGCTTAGCGGCACACGGCTCACCCTTGGATGCCGGGGTATGGAATCCTTCCACAAGAAAAAGACGTGCCTCTGTTTTATTCCTGTTTGTTTTCTATCTTTTGCACCAAGCTTTAGTCCCGAAACTCAAGCTGGTTCCTTCGATGCTGCCTCACCTGTTGAATGAGCTATTGATCAAAGTGATTGATTAAACCCGGGACACTCTATGGAGTTGCACCTCCGGCGTTTGCCATTGACAAAAATGTCACCGCAATGTGTGCATATGTTTGCTTAGTAGGCCTGGGCCAACAAAACATGTGTTTCTGATTGTTTCTTTAGATACAGGTCACAACTGGCCTGGTCAAAAGGGAACAGTCTTCAATAATGTGTTTAGTGATCAAAAACATTGATCACTAAACACATCGTAAATAATACATGTTGTTTGGACATTTAAAAGTATACTTTTTATAACTAATCAGACATCCTGTCCTAATTTTATTAGATTTTTGTTTGTTGTATTAATAATAGAACCACATCCGTTGTAGTAGTTGAATTGTAATAGATACTTGTGGTTCGAAGGTTAGGTACCTCAGCTTTATTATTAGTCTTTTACTGTATAAAATGGATTATTTATGATAATCCCCATCGCACTGAATTAATTATTGCATTCAATGAAAATGAAAGCAGCATACTGATATGGAATTAAGAAAGCAGTTGTTAATTCTGTGGTTGGCAATGAAGCTACGAGTGTAGATCTATACAGTTGTATCTATTGGCGATGTCTGTTTTTACCATAGAGATAATTATGGATGACATATTGGCCAATTCTAATTTACCTCGGCTTTGTGTTTATTGTCACAGTGTCAAGGCTGTGCTCTACACAAGTAAATGTCAATTATCTCTTACACAAATACAGTCAAGGGCGAGGGAAGAAAGTTAAGCCCGATCAGCCTATTGCCTCATTGATGCCAATGTATTTCGACGATGTGTTGTATAGTGATTTTTGTTGCTATTATGCAACCTACTCTATACATTTTTATCCGTTATTATTTAGGGTTCCATAAACTCTGATTTTAACATAGTCAAATGGAAACCCTGATGAAGACAAACAAATATTCTTCCAATCCCCTTCAAAAAATAATTAGCAACTCAATATTTTTTTTTACAGTGTATAGAACAATTTAACATAGTACAAAATACTTTAATTGTCAAACAAAGGCTACTCTTTTGTTTATGTTTTCATTCAGTCAGATAGATTTTACAGTCAATTTGACTATAACATGTAGTGTAAATAACAATAGCTTCAACGTTTGGGCTGTGACCTGGGGTTAGTTGTGGTTACTGATGGACGTCCAGTAATCACCAGTGATTTCTCCAACGCCTGTTGTACCTTACGTCCCAGACACAGTTTTGAAAACACAGGTTTAGGTGGTGATTTGAGATTAGAAACCAGGGGCATTCACAACGCACACTGATGCTGACAAACCCATATTTTTTTGCTGCACAGTGATGCACCTTTCAGTCGAAATACCTATAGTAAGTATTGTGCTGCTGCCAATTAGCACTCCGCTGGCACGTACTGTCCTCTACACTTCTCCATAGACTTGGATTGGGCTGTTGGATCACTCTGCCACTCACTAAAGCTGATCTCAACATATAGTTTGTTTCTTTTCTGTATTTACATAAATTGTCAACATGGTGTTACCTTCACATCTGGGGAACGGGTGGTCCCAGTTCCGAGTGGTGCCATGCTCACAGGTGAGGATGGAGTGTCCTACGAGCTGATATCCAGGCAGACACTCAAAGGAAATAGACTGGCCGACGTTGTACCCAGCTCCAACCACAGCACCATAGCGGAAAGGCTCAGGGTCAGGGCATTCTTGAAGCTCGTAAGCTAAACACACAGCACAAAAATGGTTCCATCACAAAGTCATCACTCATAAATTCTGTTCTTGAAAATCATTTTGTACAATTATTTTATGCAAATACAAAAGCGTGGGAGCATGGGCCCAGTGCTGCTGAATAGTCCGATTGTGAATCCAATTTTATCCATTACCATTTAACAGTGACCCAGTTGTTACAAAACCAACGTTTTAGTATTATTCCTCTCAGACATAAATTACTATGACACCATTAAAACTGTATTATGACTTCAAATGAGTTTGACATTGGAATTATGTTCAACCTTCCTGAAGATCATTATGCTGATTTTTTTTCTTCTTGAACTTCTGTGACAAAATGTTCTGAAGCCGAATCCACACAACTGAATATCAAATTGCTGCGCATTTTTAGGGCGCGACACAAAGTCGGCAGACCACAGACATAAGGCCGTTCTACCATTCATACCGGTTTTACAATGTGTCTAATGTGAATTATAGAAGTCTCATGTGAGTAAGCAGGATGACAGAACAACCGAACAACTTTACTGAACAACCTGCCGTACTTAAGTTAATTCTATATAAAGAGATTTTAAATTGCAATGACTCCTGCTTTAACGATAAATGTTACAACATTCTGGAGTCAATGCTACACATTGTGGAGTTGTTAATGGCAAATGCCCTGACGCAGAAGATTTGAAGTTCCAACCCGACAAATAGCCCAAAAATGCACTGGCTTCCCATACATAACGACAACACAAATCTGATTTTCCGGCCACGCTTCACCAAACTCATGGAGGAGAGATTGTTGCTTTCATTTACTGTAGGTCTTCATATGCAGTACACTGAAACATGGCTGGACTGCTAGAGCCGTTCAATTGCAGCTCTATTCTACAACATTATACAATACTAGAGCTGCAAAAATATTGAAAGAAAATCCATATTCCATTTTCACAACATTCCATATAACACACGCTCCCTAGGAAGTAATGTCTATTGTGTTTTTTCATTATAAGTTTTTGTGTGTTATTTAATTAGAATTGTATCAAGATGCATACCTATCAATTAATAACTTGTTTGCAGAATATACACAAGCAAATTTCTAGTTTGTGACTTACTACTACTTACAATACATTCATTATTGGCATGACTTGCCTTCTGTATGAACTGTGCTCTACAAAAAAACCTGCCTTCATGCAAAGCTTATAAATGGGGTCTAACTTTGTCCGACATATTTAACTCCTTTTGTGAGTATAAACATTAACACATCTAGTGACACATCTCATTGAAATCATATGACAATTATTTTGGACAAGCTTTGCAATGTAGATATATGAACATAAAGTGCATACCCTGGAAAGCTAATTGTGTTTTTGATATATTTTAATTGATAAGAAAATCACAAGGTATCTATTTTATGAATTTGAGAGAGGCAGCATGCAGTGATCTTATTATACAATGCACTCTACAAGGGAAGGCTTATTGTTTTGCAATAAGCCGAACCAAACTGCAATTTGAAGGAAGGAAACAAAAAAGCAGTTTCAAACAGCAGGCAAATGCAATGCACACAACCCACTTATTATGTAAATGGAGTGGAGCACACTCAGCCATCACTGTTGTTGAATTGGAAAATAAACTTGCCTGTTGAATTTATATACAGGAATAATTTATTTGACACTACTTCATACAAACGCACTGGAGCCTTTCACTGGCACAGAAGTGAAGAAATAAGTTAAGTGATCTGCAGTTTTACATGGGGAATTTATAGACGCGTGGGATTTACTGGCTTCCCGTGCTGATTAGTTTGACTCATTCCATTTAACATTATAGTAATTTTATAGCTTTACAAGAATTCATTTCACTAAGTCAGTTACCTACCTTGGTATTCGAATCGAAAGCCAGGCTTGTTCTGCGAATGATCACTGTGGAAATACACGGTGGTCTCGTGCGAAGTCGTGAGCAGAGAAGAAGGGATGTCTGACCCGCTGTATCGACCAATCACAGCGCTGGTATCCAGTGGGCCATTTCGAATCTCCAGGAAGTCGTGGTTTGCCTCAGTTGAGAAGTTTAGAAATTGAATATGTGCGCCTGAAGCAAAAAAGTATTAGATTTTTTTTTTTCCTCCAAAAATGTTTATGTATTTTTTAGATTAGGCTTTTTCTGATTCTGCATACCAAAACCAACAGGCAGGTAGATCCTCCATGTGCAGTCGCTATTGCTGGGGTAGTTGCCATGGAAACCAGGACTGAGAATCATCCCTTCCATCTCCTCACGGATTCCACCACACTGAGCTAGGGGAGGATTGGAAAGACTTGAATTAGTAAAACGAATTTCTGCAAATATGATTACATTACATGCATGATAAAAAACATTACACGCATTATAAAAACATGTTCGTACAACTATGCAAATAAATCAATGTGTGATATAGGTGTTAAAAGTACAAATAGGTCTACGGATTAAATCAGCGGTGCAGGGCAGCTGTACAATCTTTCCTGGTATCTATGGTAACTGTTAAATGTCAAATTTCTAGTCTTAGTTTACAGCAAATTTCTGTGTAATATGGTCTAATTATTTTTTTTTCTCATAAAGGTGTCTTGAATTTGCATGACGCTGGTCAGTAGAAAGCACTTAAGAATATAGACATAAGAATAAAACTGAGAATTTGTTAAACTAATCACTATCTAATTTAACTGCATTGGCACCTGCCCTCCAACTGAAATAGAGTACGAGAACATGAACGCAAACTTCAATTCCAAATCATCATTACCCAAATATAATAAGTAACTCGTGTTCAAGCATTTTTTGTTTGATACAATAAACTGCTCTTATTGTTTACTATGTGCCCCAGATTGCCTCTTAGAGCTTAATTGCAATGAGCTGTTTCCACTTTGCTCTATTATCCAGGTGGGGTTGTGCAGTTTAAGGGGGTAAGGCAATTGAAAATAGAGACTACAGCTGTAATTGGAGCAGTATTTTACATTTATCTTACTTGTGCACTAAACATATCTGCATGAGCATATGGCTAAGGCAGAATAAGAGTTTTTACCTATGCAAAGAGGAGGGGGGTAATTCCATCTGCGAACGGTCCCAGGCATACAGGTGATATGTGAATTCCCCTGCAAAACACAAAATGGTGCAAATGAGGCACTGAATCAGCTGTTGTCCTAAGCGTGTGCTCTAAGCCTGTTGTCTGTCTCCACGTGGCTCCATGCATCAAGCAAATGACTCGATCCATCTGAGGTGACAGAGGACAATAGAAAAACCACAAGCCTATAAAGGTAATTATACAGTGGAGGGATGAAAAATGACTGTATTGCTCTCTTGTTTTGTTTGTCTGTTCTCTGTTTTCTTCAGTTCTTTACACAGACCCTGCTGATATACGCTATTATTATTCATTGTTTTATATAACATGTGAGGCATTGGATGGACAGAAAGGGGAAGAAACCTAACACATTCATATCTTAGTAGTCATTGTTTTAAATGAATAATGCCAATAAAACGTGATGTTATTGCCCTTAAACAGGTCACATGAATTGTATTCTATGGAGAAAAAAAACACTTTGATATCTAGCATTCTTAATGTGAGTATGGCCACCACCACATATACAATGTGTAAGTTTAATTGTGCCATTTCAGTGACAGTATAAAGCAGTTTTAGTAGCAAGACCACATTTGTCCAGGATCTGAACTTAAACATAAGGTAACACTTCATGAAGTTGGCTGAATGACAAATGTTTCCATTATCTCCAGCTAAACTATAAATTATTAGAGCAGCTGAGGTGAGCTGGACGACACTAAACTTGTGTTTATAATCTCATGGGCTATTTTCTGTGAGCAAGGCAAAGGTCCATGTGACACAGAGGGCAGTGATTGGTCTGTGAGTCAGACTTTGGACATGCCTGGTCTATTTACTGTGGATCCTCTGAGGAAAAGTCGACATGTCTGATGTCCACGAAACAAGCAGACAAACTACCAGTCACATCTTTAATCTTAAGGCAACACTGGAAAGAATGGGTTTTGTAACAACACCATGCTGAACAATGCCATTATTTTAGTGTTTAGTCAAGAGCTCCAGTCAGAATAACAAGTAGACACACGATTACTTTTAGCAAGCTGATGCACACTGACAAAACTAAATGTAAAATGCTTTTTCATTTTCATCACTATCTGAATAACGACTACCAAAGCCAAATAAGTGGTACACCAGAGGGATCTTACCTGCAGCGTGTATCCAGGCTCACACTGAAAAGACACCACATTATTCATCTGAAGGCGCTCGCCGACCTTGATGCCATTCATAGGAACCACAGGCTCTGGACAGTTGGTCAGAGAGACAGCTGCGGGAATGATAAAGAGGAAACAATTTTGTTTAGTGATTCAATAACAATTGTTATGATTATTGTCAAGTGATTTTTTTTATTGAATATTGAAACCTTTTCGTAAAAAAAAATTGCTACATCACTGTCCTTGTGGGAGACACTCACTTTTATATTCCAGTCTGAATCCAGCGGCAGATACACTGATGTCGGAGAAGAAGTGCAAGTAGAGCTGATTGGAAGTGCTGTTAAGGAGAGCTGGAACTGTGGTCCCTAAAAGAGAACAGACAGAAGACATTACATTACTTGTTAATAATAACATGAATAATGAAAACATAATAATTATAATATATTTTATTTCTTAGCCTTTCCCTACACTCAAGGTCGCCTTACATATCAAGTAAAAAGTAAATTGAAGAACAATTCAAATACAAGTTAAAATAGAGTTGAAAGGCAAAAAGGCAAATCTAATAATCAAGGCAAAAAAAAAAACATTGTAATATGTTTCTTTATATGCACATACACAAACAAAAATCACCTTAAAAGGAAACATCCATTACTTTTCATTTTCACATGCAAGTGCTAGTTAGACCCGCCCCCATGGCTTCTTGATTTGACGCAATTAAAATCCCTGATAGATAGACAGCTCAGGATTCTCATCATTGGTCTAACTATTCTCCTTCAGCAAATTTAACTGGTGTTGGTTATACCAATGAGAGAGACTGTTTTAAATACAAATTATTATTATGAAATATATGCATACAAAATCAGGTGATGGAAAAGCAGTTTGTGAGTCTTTTTTGATCGAGGTTAAAACAACATGATCGCCTCTCTTCCTTTAAAAAGAAAGGTATTGTCATTATTTATGTTTTTGCTGGTTTGCACAAGGTTTCCATGTGAAAGAATCATATTCCATTTAAAAAAAAAGATCTATTGAACAGTGCTTACGGCTGAAAAACATGAAAGAATATCACTCTTCCTTTAAAAATAAACGCATCGTAATGATTTATATTTTGACTTTGTTTTATGACTTTAGAGTTTCCTATCTTGTTTTGGAAAGCACTTTGAAATTGCTTTGTGTATAATTGTGCAATACAAACAAACTTGCTTTCCCATTAACTCACATTCCAATCGCGCTGATTACTTGGTCTTCAGAGAGAAGCTGGCCTAGTTTGCTGATGAGAACTTATTTTTTCCAAAAATGAAAAAAAGAAGTCTGGAAGCAAGACAAAACCCCCTATACTGAAACCCTAAACACCTGATTAGATGCGTCTGTATATTTATTAACAGCATATTTTCCAAAAGAATTCCTTCGGCGCAATATTCTCATGAGTAAGTGCCCTACTTTAAGAGAAATGGAGATGAATACAAATGCAAATGTGTATAAATTTAAATAAGTCTTGATATAAATATGAAATTAGAATATGTATTTCATGCCAACACTGCTGGCCTGCAATTTATATGCAACCTTTACACCAGATCGGAAAGTTTTGTGAAATGTAAAGTGAACTACAGTACTTGGAGAAAAGCAAAAAATAAAAATGAAATAAAATACCTGAAAAGCTGCCGAGCATGGTGTCTGTGTTGTCTCCTCCATCGAACACCTCGAGCGAGTCCCAGTTCTGCTCTGTGACGAAGCTGATTACCTGGATCTGAGATAGAGACGGGGGAGAGGGGCACCAGCGGAAAATGAATTTAACAATATTTAGTCTGAGAGTGATAGGCAGGCACATACATAAACCATGATGTGTAAAAAAAAAAGTGTCGCAAATAGGGTTGTCAACAGAATCAAAAATCACAAAATAAAGCCGGAGAATGTCACCTTGAAACCGCAAAAAAAAAAAAAAAAGATACATTTCTAGCTTCATAATGGTTTGGTTCCAACACTAGCTTTCACAGGCATGTATTTTTGGCCTTTGTAATAGTAAAAGATAAATTGTAAAGTGTTTTCTATTTGATAAAGACAGAATGTTGTTGTTGACTTTCTTACATAAACAAGACCATTTATGTTAAGACAATCACAATGCATTTATGAACCAAAAAATGTTATATACGACAGCTTCAATCCATTCTGAAACTAACTAAGGAGGTACATTAAACTGACAAACAAACAAAAACAGGATGACAGGATTGTATATTTCCTAATAAAAATAATAAAAATAATAATGTTGAGCCAGTATCCACCTCCAACAAAGTCTGTTTACAGTTTGAGTGCCTGGATATATTTCAATTTTATTTGTTTTTAACGTTTGAACCTTTTTTTATTCAGGACCACCGTGGATTAGCTTGGATACCAACAGCTTCCTTCCCCACTGCTTCAAATGTGTAATATTTTGTTTGTGAAAAATAACAAATCAAAAAGAGTTTCTTAAAATTGTCAGTAATATAATTGTTAGTTTCACTGACTCTGGTCTCAAATTGGTTGCATTAGACATATAGCCTTTTTATATCACATTTATTTTTCATCAGACTTTGAGTGAAGCCTGTAATTAACTATTTAGAAATATATATCCTTTGTAAGACCTTTCTTCTCACCATGGCTTTAAATATTAAGACATCACAGAAAATACTTTTTATCTACTTTTCCCCATGCCACTGTAAGTGTCCTTCACTCTTGATCTCACACCAGCGCACAGCTCAGCTCAGCCTCTGATGGTTATAGATCGGATACAAGCCAATTAAAGGGGCGGTCGGAGCCACGGTGCTTCCTGGGGAGACGCGGCAGATCACAGATTGATCTTTCATTAGACTTTCCACAGCAAATGTGCCAGCGAGGCACCTCACTCCTTTAAGTTCTCTCCTGGATCGTGACACTCCAATTTAATGTGAGTGTGCTCGGTGGTAAAATGGGAACAACAGTTCGGAGAGGGCCGAAACACCAGTGGCGGAGCAAGAGGGGTAGCCAGGGGGGCCACTGCCACCTCTAAAAATATCCTTGCCACCCCCAGTGCCCCCCTCGGAGGACGGCAATGTAATAATGTTAATCTTGAGAATCTTCCGCACTTTTTCCGCCAAAAGCGAAAAATTCCCACGGTTTCCCCCGTCTGTGAACGCACCCTGACTCCATGTGGAGCCGGTGCTGTATGCTAATGCTTTGGGTTGTTGGACTCACATGTGCCCAAGTCGTGATGAAAACAAAGAGGTAAGTTAGCGATGCAGAGCCGTTTACATTTGACACAAAGTATTGACACACGTACTGCAGCGCATTACTTGTTCAGTTTGTAGAACTTTTAGTGTGTGTATCTGTGTGTGCGTGTGCGTGCCTGTATGCGCGCCTGTGTGCGTGTGTCAGCGTGCCAGTGTGGCTGCGTGTGTGTACGTGCCTGTGTGTGCCAGTGTGGGTCTGTGTACCTGTGTACGTGTGTGCGTGCCTGTGTGCGTGTGTGTGCGTGCGGGTGTGCATGCGTGTGTATTTTCCATTATTAATTGCCCATCGTATCATCGCCCTCTTCCCTTTAGTGTAAACATGAAAAGAAAAGGAGGAAACATTGCCTACAGGCCTTTTTTTGTAAAGAAAAGGCCTGTAGATCAGGATGATGAAACCTGAAGGTCAGACTCAGAGGCAGTATGTTTTGAGATGATGAGGAATTTGTTGTGTTGTATTAAAATATAGCTTATATAATTGAGTTTCAGAGAATGAGAGGGTGTCGCAGACAGGTGCAGGATTGTCTATTGGCAGAAGGCGTTTTTTCACACACAAAAAAAGAAAAAAAATAGCTAAGATTATGGATGGAGTGCAGTCGCTTGACCCCAAACTATTTTTGAAAGAAGAGCCCCTGTTTTCATTTGGCAGAACCTTTGAGTCAGATATAGAGGACCTTAAGCATGAGGTCAAACTAGGTGGCTTCTTGGGAGGAAAAAATGGATTAGAGAGTCCCTGTTGGACTTCCTTGTCCTTTTGGAACGTTTGGAAAGTGTTTCATGAGCTTTTGAGGCTTGCAAAGATCTTTTAAATACCTGTCAGTACTGCGTCTTGTGAAATAAGTTTCTCTGCCCTAAAACTTATTAAAAACCATCTCAGAACTACCATGGCAGATGATTGAGTCATCTTGGTATCCTCAGTGTAGGGTAAAGGAGGCTCAGGGCTGAATATGGATGAGTTTGTCAACATCTTTGCTGCTTTACACCAGAACCGTAGGAATTTTCTAAATTTGTTAAAAGAAAAATGTAATGCAATGTTTGAATGTTATTTTGCACTTTTTTGTTCAGACTACTATTTAAATACACTTTTTTGCTTTGTAGTTTCCAAGTGTGCTCTCAGTTCACTTAATAATGACAAGATTAATATTAAAATGTATCGTTTAGCCAGTTTTTGTATGAAATAAAATTTCGGAATAGTATAAATGTGGACCCCTTAAAAAAAACCTTGCCACCCCCTGGCCACCCTCTGTTTAAAAGTCTGGCTCCGCCACTGCGAAACACGGTGTGCCCAAGACTGGGCTAAGATACTTTGGGAAGAATAAAAGATACTCTATGTGATCTGTGATTTTGTCATATTATTGGGAGGGTGAATATGCTTTGCAGGCAGCTAATACTGGTGGTACTAATAGTGTTGTATAGTGGCAATAGTGGGTAGTTATTTTGAAGACCTATACAACATAAATCTTGTATACAACTTGTTTGCCTGGTTCACTGCTCTTCCCTTGGCCCTTCTTCCGCTTGGTCCTACAGGTCTAACCAATAGAACAAAGAGGCTTATGGCCGCCAAAAAGATGGTTTCTACAAGGTGCTACAGAGGATTATGACTTTGTTGACATTGCCTATTTGGAACAGTCTAAAACATGAGCACAAAGAACTAAGAAGGAGAATACCATTACTGTGTAGAACTGTCTCTTTTGGCCCAGTTTTTCAGCATAAGGTAGGTAAGACTTAGAAATACAACCTCAAGACCTATCCTCTCCTCTTTATCTGTCATCATTATGACCTCAAGTGTACTCTCTTTATTGCTATTCACCCATTGTCCCATTGGCTGTTTCATGGTGGGATGATGGGACCTCTGAATCTGGCCTCGTTCCACTGAACCTATGAACTGTCTCCTCTGGCCCAGACTCGTGGGCTGCACCCGCTCAAGCTTCCTATGGACCAAAGGCTCCTACATGTTTGTTATTATTGTAGTCCCTGTGTTCGACATGTTTAATTTACTGATTTTTTGGTAACTTTGTAAAGTCCTCTGAGATGGCTGCTGTTGTGATTTAGCGCAATACCAAAATAAATTTAATTGAATAATTTCAAATGTTTTCTTTACAGATGTCTTCAGCAGAGACATGTGCATTTGACCTACAGCACGGTGTGTGTGCCGGGTGGAGGAGCTAATAGCTGAGGGAGTTCTCTAAGGTCATTACAAAGTCTGAAGCATAAGCCTAAAAACTTTTTTTTATCTGTCGGCCCCAGAGGCAAAGATTCTTGGTGGAGTTCAATCTCGAACGCATCCAAGAGTGACACTATGTAAACTGCATTCTAATAGTCCGATGGAAAGATACACTAATTATAACTCAAACAGCACAATACGTTTTATTTGGTTTTATAAGTAGATAAATTATGGGTCCTTTTAGAGTGACAGAGCAATAGCATTAAGCCAATTGAATACTTGCTTAATCATTAGTTGGTGATTTTATATACTGATTGTTATACCTACAGATGGGGCACCTAACTTCTTCTGGAAGCTTTCTGAGGTACAGTAATTGGGCCCATTAAAACCATTACCAATATATATACAATTTCAAGTTAATCTTATCTTATTTTACAACCAATGATACATGTAAAAATACTTGATGAGCGCATATGTGAATGATTGTTTTTGAAGATAAACTATAATATCCATTTAAATGTAAGTGAAAATAATAGTATTTAGTTATACCTGAATTCCTGATCCCTCTGGAACAGTAATTTTCCAAACGCAATTGAGGCTGTTGAGATAAGGCTCTGGAAAGCCGGGAGATAAGATGGTTCCAGTTCGAGACGTCAGGTTGCCGCCACAAGGAACTGTGGAGAAAATAAGAATGGAATTAGCTGTGTCAGTCGCAGTATGCCACAGACAGCATCTGGTTCCGCCCACTATTCCGGAAGTCACAGTCATTCATTAGCCCGCTCAATGCTCTGTTGCCTCCATCTGGTATCAGGCAAGTAGTCACAGCACATTCAACCCAACCCGTTCAAACAGCAGGTGTTATACTTGAAATAATGCAAGCAAAAATAAATCATGTTTTCATAACAGCAACTTGACCTGGATCAGCCGCCACACACTATGCACGAAGACGGATAAGACTATCCACAGCTCAATGCACTCCACATCTGCTGACAGTCTCCAGCAGCTGCTTGTCTAACTGATGCATGTATGAAGATGTGTTTGACCCATAGGGAATACCACCTGCACCACACTGAGAAGCAGCCCATGTGTGACTTACCAGTGACTCTCAAGGTGTGGGGCCAAAAGATCTTAATAAGTGGTACAATGATACAATGGGAAATATGTTTTAATTAGTTATTTATGCTTAAAAGGGACACAATATGAGTTCTTATTTAGTTCAGCGGGATTCCTTTTCAAACTGACCCTAACGAAACGCGGACCAAGTTGCGATGCCAGGATATTTTTCTCTTGGATTGAAATAATTGTGGAAGGCATGTGAATCGTCTACATAGGAGATCAGAGGACTAAGGGGAGGGCAATGTTGTCTCAATTATATGAGGATATTTCAATACTCAGACATGTACAAGTTTCCGTTAACAAAACCTTTTTTCTCTACCAAAAACAGGAACAAAGACTACCCACATTCAGAATAGAATAATAACATCACATTGATACTACTTGAATACACATGTAGTTTCAGTCTTACCTATGCAGCTCGGTGTAGAACTGTTCCACTGAGCCAGGGCATTGGGGACAGTTAAGCATTCAATGGCCCCAGATCCCTCCAGCACATAGCCTGGACTACACTCAAAACGAACCACCGCTCCCACCGCAAAATTGTTTCCCATTCGGCGACCGTTCCGCGGCTCAGGCACAGAGCTGCACTGGGTGGCACTAGTCCGTGGTACGGCTATGGCACAAACAGAAACAATTGTTTAAGATGAAGGCCGTCAGGTGAGGACGTGCGTGATGTGTTTCCTACCCTGATAAACCAAATGGAATCCTCTTGCACTTGACTGGCCTTTAGACGTGAAGCGGATCAAGATCTGGTTAGATGTCGCTAATGGCAGAGATTCACCTAAACAAAACAATCAGCTTTTAATAGTCATGTTCAGGTGGAATGGAAAATTGACGTTCACTCAAAAGTCTTTTTACTTTTGTGAATCAAAATACAATGTGAAATAGTCTGAGTATGAGATTTATAAAACCATTTTACAGTTCTATTTTATTATTTTTTTGGTATGATGTTGATCCTTGATAACCCCAAATATCCAAGAACACTAGAATTTGGTGAAAATTGACAGTAAGCCATAATAATAAAAATAAAAAATAACAATTGTAAACCGCTTTGTGACTCTGGTCTGTGAAAGCCGGTATATACTGTAAATAAAAATTACTTACTTACTTACTTAATCATCAACATTATAACCAACAAAGGCTTGGTATGCTGTATGTCACTTTATATGCAATGATACTATATATTATATCATATAATGGTTTCACATTTTAAGTAGAATACAAAATAGATAAATCTTTAAATAATATTCTGGTTTGCAAGCTTCACCAGTAAATATGGAAGAGGTACACAACTTAGGGCGACAGTGGCTCAGTTGGTAGAGCATAGGCCTTTGAACCTGAAGGTTGTGGGTTCAAGCCCACCATGAGACTTATTTCACGACTCCCACTGACGACTGCTGTCGTTGTGTCCTTGGGCAAGATACTAAACCCCACATTGCCTGTGGTGCAGCTCTGACTGCCACCCCCCCCGACCCAGAAATGGATTAAGGGGAAGAAAATGGATGGATGTATTATACTCCGTATTATATTTTGTTGTGTGCCCCCGATTCACTGTTCTATAACATAATTCAACCCTGAAATGTCACAACTGTGGTCCGAACAAAGGATCTCTTTTAATCTTAATCCTAAAGGACTTGTACTGTTGTGCTGATTTAGAGCTGATTTTAAATTCAATTGACCAACCCTGCTCTCAAACATCTCATAACCTCTCCTTGCTTTTGTCGGGTGTTTCATCATATAAATCTCAAATCACAGTTTAGCAAAGAGTGGCTTTATTAATCTGGCGTGTCTCATGATGTATGCCTGCTTGCAGAAGCCTAAGCGCTGGGAGAGCACACATGCTTCGCTATGGAGACGACATCTGCTCCTGAAGGCTCCCCTGACCTCCACTGGGATGCAAATACCTACACTCAAAGTTAGGTATAAGTGTTGTTCATCATTGTTCATATCCTACTGTACGACCCCAGGGCATGCTGGGTAGTTTATGAAAGGCACCCTTGCTGCTCAGTGTCAAGACAGAGTTTCATAAGTCACTGTGCGGCCAGCTATTCATCTTAGCAGTTCAACACATGTCAGCATGTAACTTATTAAGCCACTGGCCTCTCTCCAACTTCAAACCTTCTCTTAACATTCACCACTGAGCCAGCACGTGAAAGTCAAGGACACATAAATCCTCCACGATGGGTCAAGTGATGAACTTCAAAATTAATTAGGAGAAATGAAACGTGCATTTAATTAATTTTCCACAATGGTCCCATTGATACTTTCTACATATCTTTTTTCAAAGGTTGTATTTAAAAAAAAGAAAACAGGATATATATTCTCAGTAGTCATTTCTCCAACAAAAAAATATTATGCCAATTATGCAAAATTATGCAATTTTCTTTAAATCTACTTTTTTGTTTTGTTTTTTGAGACAGGGAAAAGTCAAATTTTTTATGGAAAACAATAAATATTTGTATTTGTATTTTTTTAATCAAAAAGATCTAAGGGCACAGTTGTTTATTTGACCCAACGCGTGTGGCCCCTCTGCCTCATAACAAAGACTGGTTCACTTGGGGCAAACATGTTTTGTTTGTGGATGTAAAACCACACCAAGTGCATATTTTAGATTTTTTTCCTCAAATGAATCAAACCTGGGCCAGTTAAGATTAAGATTAAGAGATCCTTTATCCGTCCCACAGCGGGGAAATTTTAGTGTTGCATCACAAGTTATAAAATAGTAGTAAAGAGGAGCACACAGCACAAGTTAAGTGAACAATAGCTATACTAATTAAAATACAACAAAATCTCTAACTCTAGCATCAATAACAAGTATGAAAACTAAATCTTGAATTAATAATACAAAATAAATGTAAAAGTTTTACATTTGGCAAAATAAGAAGCAAGTATAAAGCACTGGAAAAAGGGAGAGCAATGCAGCTGGCATAATATAATTCAAAAGCTTGTGAGATATAGTATACAGTATGTGGTGATGCAGTCATTCTAAAATGTATTTTTTGTTTAATGTAAGATTATCCTTTTATTTAACATTATCACACATTTAGGCTAGAGGAGTTTTCTATATTCATGAGTTTTAAATTCACAAGCTTTTGCAAGAATGTGTGTGTCATCCATAAACCTCTTGCATGTGGGAGGATTTTAGTTTGAGCTGGACATTTATACCCTGGATCCATTACCTGTGTGTGCCCCTGATAAGGAGCTGAGGACACGGGAGTGCTGTGTGGCGCCATCATACACCTCCACAATGTCATTCAGAGCTGTCTGGAAGAAGGCGAACTGACTGAAGACCACTGAAAACATTTGACACACAAGGGAAGCAGTTAGACCACCTGCGTGCCTTTAAACCAGACAAATTATGCAAATTAATCGTGTTTGAGCTTTTAAAACTGTGTTACAAATGAATTCAATGTCTTTAAATAAAAATCCATGCTAATATCTAAACCAAACCCATCTACCCACCAATCTTTCTCATGTCAATTTATGTTCTTTGCCACTTTTACATGTTAAAGACGTGGGCCCATGTAACAGCATGGTATGGAATGTCTGTTTTAATTACATTATTACTTAGGTGAATAATGAAAAAGGGGAAAAAAACGATGAAAGCTAGTTCCTACAGCTACCGCGATGGATGAAAAGTGATATTATTTTGGTGCATTCTGTTCATAGATGGTCATGGAAGTAGAAGTGGACTAAATGAGTGCTGATGTTACCGATAGTGTTTGCCCTATTCTGGAGAAAGCTTTTTGAGCGGCAATCTGGAGGCAAATTACTTCACCAGGACTATACAGTATATTTGTAAGCCTACAATGGTGAATGTGATACAAATGGTTACAGAGCAAAAGGAGTTGAGCACTTCCCTTCATTGAGCAGGTGGGTTAGCACTTTCCCTTTGTATAAAGTATATTGCAGAGTATGATAGACAATTAAACAAAAACAAAATATGATGTGATATTAGCTTGTGGAAGTGACTCTGCATTTTCCAGCTCCCAAAATCCTGTTTACTGTTTCCCATACGTCATTTGTAGTGTGCATGTGGAGTCAGAGCAGAGCCACCCATTTAGTACCCTGCACTCAGAAAAATAGCCTTTCATTAGGTCTGGTCTCTCAGCCTAATGGGAAGTGGCAAGAATGGAGGCAAGAGGCATTTGTGGTTCCCTACGCTGTGTCATTTCCAGGAAAATGTGAATGTGGGTTTTAATGATCTTATTTCATTATTTATTTATTTATTTAACTCAACAGGTTAACAAAGTCTAGCAGAAACAATAGACACCCAGTAATTTTGGAGCAAAGCCAATCTCTGATAACAAAACAAAACCAGATGCCTCAAAGCCTGACAAATTCTAAACAGAAACGCCTGGCTCAATTTAAAATTGTATTATGATATCCATTTAAATAGTATAGACACATGCTTTCAAGCTTGAGGTTTCAGAGAGCATTGAGGTTTCTAAACTTTGACTTCAAAGTGTCTTGCCTAATAATACTAACAGCATGATTATGAACGCAGACAGGCAGAGTGAACAACATACTGATGCATCCTCAAACATTTAGAACATGCATGGAATTAACAGACTTTAAATACAAGTTTTTGGAGGCTTGAATTCAAGTTAAATGACTGTAAAAGCTATGTTCTAACATGTGAAATAGTGTGTGTAGTAAAAATTAGTAAACCATTTGTGGGTAAAAAAAACTAAAACATTATTAGACTTGACTGAATATCTAGTGATCGAAGTCGGAAATTATATGATCATAGATTCAAGACCCTCATCTCACATGGTGTAGGCCAGTGGACCTGAAGGCAGGAAGTTGTAGAGAAAGTGATTTGGAGGCAACATTTAAAAGGTAGAGCGTCAGAGAAGCTGAAGGGGCAGTGGGACCCGTTTGTGATGATTTACCTGATGATCCTGTTCCTGCTAGAATGATGGAGCTAACACAACCTCCATCAGGGAACAACATTGCAAGACCTAGCAGCAAAATGGTTTCCCCCCATTGTTGCAGACTGAATACCTGCATTGAATCTTACCATAGTCTTTGGGTACAACCACAGAGTACAGACAGGTCCTTGCACGGCTGTAATTTCCAGGGTAACCGGGAGACAAGACGACTCCCTCCTGTCCCGTGTACTGCCCACCGCACGGAGCTGAACAAACACCATGGGCCCAGGCAGACGTGAAGAGAAACAGGACAAAAAGGACAGAGTGAGAAAGATGGCCCAGAGCCAATAAAGAACCATCCCATTTCTCCATCACTGCTATCCCAATCCCTCCATCCCATCAATCCTAAATTACTTTTCTTGTCTGATTGGGCCTCCGATGGAACATGTCCCTAGTGTTTGCCACAGTGAAATTGCAATGTTTTCCAAGTGTCCTTCTGGGTTAGTGTTAGAGATATCGGCCTCAGCGCTCTTTCCTCTATTGGTTCCAGTAGAAAAGTAGAGACAGAAGTGTTTTAATAGAGCGAGTCCACACTATGCTTCTTGAGCAGTGGTGCCAGTTACATGAACGGTATGTTGATTTGTTCTGAAACTTGGCATGAAGACCAGTCTGAAAAAATAGCTAAAATAAAGATTTCTTATAATGAATTATAGGACAATTATGTGGCACTACTGTTGCCAAATTATTATTGATTAATGGTAATATCATAGTATAATTACAATTTAGTAGTCATTTAACTATGATGAATGTTAAACACATTCAACTTTTTCATGAATAATTCATGTTTCTCCCATCAGAAAGTGTCTTGTACAAGTATAATATTCAGACCACAACATACTGTCTTCAAAGTGTATTATCTTTTACCTACTTGAAAGCCTTGTTAGTCGCAAATTGATACTTTGGGCTTTCGGGCTGATCAATGCCGAAAACACATTTACATAATAATAATAATAATAATGCATCGGTTTTATATAGCGCTTTTCTGGACACTCAAAGACGCTTCACATGTGTCATTATTCATTCACTCCATACACGGTGGTGATAAACTACTGCTGTAGCCACAGCTGCCCTGGGGCACACTGACAGAAGCGAGGCAACCAGTATGCGCCATCAGCCCCTCCGACCACCACCAACCATTCACACACACCAGACTCATTCTAGGCAATGGGGGTGAAGTGTCTTGCCTAAGGACACAACGGCAGTTTGGCACTTTACAGCCGCAGCCGCCCCACTGTGGCTGGTGTTCCCAGAGGTAAAGTGTCTCTACCAACTGAGCTACTGCCGCCTTTTGGTATTTGGGCCATGAAAACTATTGATGGCCCAAACTGTTCAGAGAGCGCGGAACTACTTGGATTTTATCACAAAATAAAAATGTTTGGGGATAGGAAGTTGGTTGCCTCAACTTTAGGTCAAATGAAGAAAGAATGAAGAGAACTGCGTCCATCGCTCAAATATACATATTTTGTCAGCAATTACCAGAATTTCACAAATGGGAAACACAATTAACAATATTGTGTATTGTCCAATCCATATAAACAAGTTCACATAAGCAATAGGTGCTTAAATTTGGATAGAAATACATAAGGCTCTGCTTGTTTACAAAATAAAAATCTAAGAATGGCTTTTGTCTTGCCAACAACTGTCTCCAGATGTCAGTGTTTACCGGTGCAGATTGGTTTGGGCTTGTTCCAGCTTGGCTTGCCGTCGCCTCCCATGATGCAAGTCAAGGTAGCGTCCCCCTCCAGGGTGTAGCCGCTGTCGCACTGGAACACTACGATGGCGTCCAGCTTGAGCTCCGTCCCCACCCGCGTGCCGTTTCGCACCAGTCCTGGTTCGAAGCATGACTCCCTGGGGTTTTCTGTGGAGTGGAAAGACAGGAGAAAATCAGCAACAGAAGGGAATGTGCACATGTTTTCAAATGATTTTCAAGCCAAGCATTGGAATAACCTGATCCTAAGTGTTCAGTGTAAATTAGGATTTATTTTGTTACTTCCATACTTAATTTATTTAATCAATTCACTCAGGACAAAAGAGCCTCTTGGAGTCATAATGCAGCTGTGAAGCATAAAGCAAGGGCTGTGTCAGTTCAGGCCTTTTTTTTGTACCATCCAGTAACATGCACCATAGGTAAAATCCTTCAGCTCCGGTCGTCCTGACCCAGCCGACCATAAACATCCAGAGATGGGTCCTGCGCTCTGTACTATGGCAACCACTGCTCCAGGCAGAGGCCCTATAGTGGCATTCAACTAATTTCCCAACAGGGACCATAAAGTACACCCTCATGATAGCCTTACTGTGTTTTGTACGTAATCATTGAGTTTTTCACTGTCAGGGAGTTCTTTTGATCAAAAAAATGTGGGAAATTAAGGATAAATTAAGGACTGTTTGTAAGGAAGTAGGCTTACAATAAGACAGGAAAAGCTCGTTATTGTGAGTTAATGTTATTATTATTTTAAATGGGACAAAACAATATTATAATCATGTTAGTCTAATGTATTGCATTTAGCATGGTGCTTTGCGGTGAAAATACAGCCAAGGTGACCCAGAGGGCTGCAAACAAAAACTGATAATTTTCTGATATTTTGGACACTGATATAAAATTGAGTGCTCTATGGTTATAGGACTATCTTGTCTGTTATTCAGTGAATGCATCGCAGTCTCTGCTGTTGAAGCTATACAGATGGAAGTAAAGATAGACAGGATGTTGATTGAGAGTGGCATAGCTCTGGCTCAAGGTCTGCTGACGGCACACAACGGCTCCTCACACCACTCTTCCGTGCACTCAACTGGAGAAGACAACGCACATACGCAATCCTTCTGCATTCACACTCTGCTGTGACCTACAGGTCCAACACAAAGCACACGCATCAAACCACACATCACTCAGCGCTCCGCTAAGAGTGACGTCTCAGTTTTCAAGCACATTGTTATATCACAGGAAAACTAATAGGAAAGGACACGCGTCAATTTTGATTGTTTTCTTCTTATACATACCTGACCATGATGCGATAGCCTGATTGTCAAACTGAGATAGTGGGCACTTTTTAAAGCTTATATGTTGTTTAATAACTAGAGGTGATAGCTAATAATTTTTAAAGTAATTTTAAGTGACAAATCTAATGAAAACAAAAGGGTGGACACATTTTCCGCCTTCATTGTAAACACTAACAGTGTAGGAGGCTGTGCATGCCCAATGCAACCAATTGTTTGCTCAAATATAATGTGAATTTATGAAATACGAGGTCAATATTATCAGTGTTTGTTTGGTGGGAGTTCATATCAAGATAATAAGATATAAGATCAATATATAGTAAAGTAATGACATATGTATATTTTAAATGAGGTATTATTAAATTGATGATCATTTGTGTGTCTCAAAACCTATGTTAGGATAGTGTATTTTACTTTATGTACTGCACAGTATCATCATTTCTAACAAACATATAACTCCCATTAACCGATGTTTATATGTGCGTGCTTTGCCTGCATCATCAATGTGAATATGAGTTATGCCTCTGTCAGTGTCTCCTATGAAGGAGCAATGTCTTTTCTCTGTCCCCCTCTGCTCCCTTCAGAGCTGGAAGTGCTACTCTTCCACCGTCTGCTCAGAGCTAAATGTTTCACACTGGTTGCCTCTGCATCCCCGAGTGCAAGATACTCACACATGTGCTCCTGTGGACAGGTGTTGAATGTGCAGCTGATGCATCAGATTTTTTCCCAGATTTATAAATGAATGAGGACATTGTTGTTAGCTAACAAACAGGAAAGGGGGCACTCAGGATCCAACCAATACTGGTGCATACAGGTGCCCTGTCCCTGACACATACTCCAGGCAGACTGCATCACATCCATCACTTTAACCTAGAAATCCAAAGTATTACACCAGTCGGATGGATGGTGGATACTGCTCTTATTAACACTAATCACATCATGTCTTTCTCTAATAACAGATTTGTCTTACTATAAGTAGAGATTACAGCCAATTACATTGGTTCCAAAGTGTTTGTTTGATGCACCCTGAGCGAACAGACACACTTCAGGCCAAACATGCTTTTTACCAAGCTGTCTGTAACAGAGGAAGTAATTTATGTATTATTTGGTTATGGTTCATTAGTGTGGAGAATTGGAAGTGGGAAGAGGGACTCTTTTTTTCTCTCTAAGCCACACACTGAGGCCATCTGCTCTACCAGATTGGCCATACAATATTACGCACTGTAATGCACATTCCAGAGAATATTGCTGGAAGTAAGTTAAAGGGCACTGTCTGTAACAGTGTGTCCTAACTCCATATACCATTTAAAAACAATTTGGAGCATTGCAATGTGAGACAGCAAGAATGTTAAGGCCAAATTATAGACTACAGACATAATTCCAGGTTCCGCCCTGAAAGAATCACACCTGAGTTTATTCAGAATTGGTTAATTGTCTTTATACCTTTAAGGCCGTTAATTGAAGATGGATGGCTTTAACCACAAAAACTGTTTGATTAACTGCTCTAGAATTGCAATTTGGATTAATATACAATTAGAACAGTCTCTTAACAATTTTTTTTCCAAAAAAATACATAAGTAATCAATAGGTGTTTCCTATTATTGTGCAACAAAAGTGCAATAGTGGATGTGTAGTGTAAGAAAATGAATTGGACTTCTCCAAGATGCTGCACTCAGCAGTAGGTATCAAACAGGAAACACAGTGAGCTAATTTATGGAAAGCATTTTTGCAACTACAACGTACTGATCAAAAAAGTAAGAGAGCTTGGTGTCAGCTTTTTATTTGTATTATTCTTTGTTGCTGAGTTCAGGCGAAACACTGCGCAAGACTATCTATGATACAAGTGGGAATAATGTGATACCTTCAGATATTGTTGATGATTAAAATTAAGATTATGTGTTCATGTTTGTATTGGTGTGTCTTTTGGAGCCATCTTTGAATCAAGGTTGAAGACACTGTGTACATGTCCAATCAGTACTAAAAGCTTACCTGTGTACTGCAGCACAAAGCCATTGCTGCTGAGTGAGGCATCACTGCGAAAGGCCAGGAAGAGCGTGTTGGAGCTGCTTTCAATCCGCTCAGGCACATCGATACCATAGAAGCTACCAAGCAATGGGCTGAGAGAGTCTGGTCCATCATAGATGTGTAGAAAGTCATAGCTTGGCTCTAAACTAAACCTACAGAACAAAACAAAAAAAAACTTATTGGTATATGTTTCAAATTCTAGCTTTGTTGATAAACTAATAAACCAACAGAGTAACAGAACGCAACATTGGGTATTGGCAGACTAGTGGACTATAGGAACCAAAGCGTGTTTTTTTTAGTGAAAGGGTCAGGTGTGTGATTTTTGAACTATTTGGTCCCATCTGTCAGTAATGTGTGCAGAGTGTAGCTAAATGGGTGAAATCGTTCTGGAAAAGTGTCCTGGTCTTCAAGAAACACTGTAAACGTGCATGGGATGAACACATGATCCAATACTTTTCCAGAGTGCCTTGAACAATTCTAGTGAATAATGCAAACAACTTCGCTAACTTTGTTAGCAAATTACATTTTGGAGGTGTTTCTCTTGTTATTATTTTAATGATTCAATTTTTGTTCATTAAACCACTTTGGGTTACCTCGTGTATAAATTGTGCTATACAAATAATCTTTATTGAAAGCCATTACAGTGGTACTATATATAGAAAATGTTTCCGGTTCCCACCTGCCACATGAAGTCTAAGAAACCGTAGTGCTGTCTTGGGCAGTGTGTCTTTTATTTTGTTTAAGATTGTTACTGTTTTACTGTCTTTACTTGTTCACTGATCAATGACAAACATGAGCCTTACTGGTTGAAGCTGAGGGAGATGACGTAGTCCTGCTGCACAGACACTTTCCAGTCGCACTCTCTTCCATGTGGATAAGGTTCCGGATAGTCAGGAGACAGTATCAGGCCGCTGGGACCGGTTAGATTTCCCCCACAAGGCGCTAAAAACGTATGAAAAGATTAAGCATATAGTATTTCATATCCATTTCTATGAGGAAAGTGTTTAGCTGTGGAAAACATTTTACCTATAAGGAATAAAATCACATTTTATGAATTTGCCAGAATTAGAATTAAAAACTTAAATGTCATCCTTTTTTCAATTCAATTAAGATGGATTATACATCTTGGTATACCAGATGTTGGGTGCCTGTTTTTTTGGGGGGTTTTTTGTGTGTATTTTTTGCCATGGAAATAAATACATTGCATATGTATTGCATATTAAGACAAAATATCACATACATTTAATCATTTCAATCTATCTTATATTCTTTATTTTTGATAATAGTGGCCATGTCTTAGTGTCTTTTTACCTGCGCATGTGGGAGGGTCTGGCTGCCAGAAGTAGCGGCCATTGATCTCAGTGCAGGTTATCTTGTTAGCCCCCAGCAGGATGTAACCAGGATCACATTGAAATACAACATGGTCGCCTGGTTCCCTGCTGTCCCCGCCTCGAGTACCATTCGTAGGCATCCCTGGGTCGTTGCATGAGGTTGCAGTGGAAACTAAAAGAACAAGGGAGCAAAAACATGAAAATAAAAACAAATCTAGTCTTTTTGAACTGACTGAAGTACACTTGAGGACGTACTTGAGAACTGCAGTGCAAACCCCTGCTTGCTGGTGAAGAAGTCTGTGGTGAACTGTAGGCTGACAGTGTTAAATGTGCTGTGTGCATCCGGAGGCAGGACTGAGCCACTCAATTCCCTCAGCAGGACTCCTCCATCCTGGGGTCCATCCCAGATCCTGAGCACGTCGTGGATCTCCTCCGTGTGGAAGACTAGAAAGTGGAGGCTAAAAAAAAAAATGTCTTTGGTAAATTCCTGAATCAAGGTCAATACTTCAAGACAAGGTACACGTAAAGATTCAAAAGCTTTTGTTGATTCAGCTGGTAATGCTTGGTAAAATGAGGGCGAAACGTAAGCTTTTTTTTTTTATGAGTTCATAAAAATGCTTATTACTACATACAAGTTGTATAATAACCCGTAATTTAATTGAAAACTTGAGCTCATTGATTCAGCTTGGGTATGAATTCAGGCCGTAAAAAGTGCTGAGTAGAGACTTAGCGTGACGCCAGCTCTCCTCCACTTACAGAACGAGGAGCGGCGCTGTTTACGAACAGGCTGCGTCCTCTTCTACAGCGCTGGTAAACAAGAGTAGAATGGAGGCAGAAAGTGAGTATATCTGCCCTGGCTGTAACTGCAGACACAGCAAAACAGCCTAAACGACACAACAGTGAGGAAGGGAAGAGGGAACTAAAGCAAAAAAAAGATCAAAGAAGAAATCAAGCCTGTGTGAACATAGCTAGCTTACATCTCTGGAGAGACTTACAGTCTACGGGAGAGATCTGCGGGAGCGGGACCGCCATGGACTATCTAGCAGTAATCTTTCAGTTACATATTTTGTTAGCAGTGTGTTGCTTTTGTACCATTTCATCAGCGATTGTTGTACAGCTTACAAAAAGTTGCGCTCAGATCGCAAATAAAACTAGATGGCTTCATGGGATGAGAGCGTATAGGAAATGAGAGATCTGCGAGCGAGTTTAGAGACGGTGCTAAACATTCAAACCTTGCAGAAATGGGCATAGCTTCTTTAAGGGTGAGGCTTTTTGGTCTATATTGTGGGTCTTATTTTACTTGTACAATAAGTACTTGACCACCTGTACAGTATATATATTTGTTTGAACAAAAAACTTTCTGAAGAACAACAAAAAACTTGCAGAGGTAGCTTATCATTATCTTAGGTCACTGGAACAAAAGAAAGCGCATTTCTTGCAAAGCGTCACACCCGTGGGATGCTGGGGATGTTCCTTAAAGACCTTATGACGGGTTTTTAAAAAAAAAAATAGTGGATATCAAAATTGCATGACAATGTCAATTTGAAAGAGATTCCGGCAAAAAATATCCTATATTTTATAAAAAGAACGTGTTTTTCATGAATTTAAGTTGTCTATGCTCTAACCTGTGTGTGACGTCATAGCGGGTTACGCCCATGCATTGAAAACCATGGATCTATGCCACAGGACTGCCTTTTCTCTCTTCTCTCCACTGATGCCCAACACAATACTGCCCTCTACAGGTGACAATTGCTCACTACACATAAATTGCCGTTTTGAGTGTGAAAAGGTGTCCGAGGTGAGATTTGAACCCAAGAATCTGGATTGGCAGTCCATCGACACAACCACTGGACTATCTCAGTGACAACGAAATGGAACATTCTAGTAGTTATCTCACACTCGCTGTACACGGCCTTGTCATCTTGAATATCCGCGAAAAAAGAACGAATACCAAATTGTAAACAACTTACAGCGTTGAAACGTACCCACTCAGACGTCACCAAGGACTGTGAAGTTTTTTCGTTTCTAAGGGCGTTGCTATGGGGTTATTTCGATTTGGGGGGATCAGACAAAAAAAACAACAACTGATTTTGAAACCTTTAGTAGTTCTCTTCTAATATAAAATGGTATTAAAACTGTATTTCTAAATAAATCAAACCCGTCATAAGGTCTTTAATGTCAATCAAAGAAAGACTTGCTGCCTGCCACCACATTTAATGATTTCAGTCTAGACATCACAAAGATGACACTGTCAAAATATCTTCTTTTCACTTGCACACAGACAGCTGTCGACCAGCTGGTAGCGCGCTTGTGTTAGATTGCACTGTGGATTAGCATGTGTGCCGGTGCAAGATAATCACAACTTTATGTAAAAAATATTTGACAAAGCAAAAAATAAATAGAACCAACTATCGGTCTTGTTATTAATTGCATTGCCCTGACATGAAGTTGTAATATCTAGCAGTTACTTAATAATAGAAGGCCAAAATATTGCTTGATCATTACTACATGAGTTTTCTTCTGATACTGTAAATTAGGTTGTACTGTAAATAAGGTCCTGCCCACTTTCTCTGAGGCCTGGACTCCCCATAAAAAAGATATTCTTGGGTTTCATATGACGTCGGGGCAGTGACCCTGACGGTGCAGTCTGCCTAGAATATACACAGAGATATAGTAGAAGAAGATGCGCTAATATCTTAGCTAGCAGTCTTCAGTCAAAATTACATCTTTTTGTGCGGTGTACGGTTGTAGCAACCGCGCGAATGGAGAGAAAGACAAGAGTTTCTACCGTGTTCCAAAACACTTTGAAAAAAATCACTCGAATTAGGCGGGCGAGGTGGATCAGCAATGTCCAACTGAAATTGGGTCGTGCCAACCACTTTCTAACACCATAAACACCAGAGTCCTGATCAGCGCCAACCACAGATGATACCTTTTGAAATCGTTAATTGTAAATAAAAAACACTGATGTCACTGATGCATTGTATGTAAATTTATTTTTCATATTATTAAAACTTTGTGACACCCTCCTCCTGGGACAACAGATGTGTTGTAACACATAAATAACACAATATTGAATTTGACTTGGACTAAGCGTTTAAACAAATTTTGACGATTAAACATATCTTTAACCTTGTGTGTTTGATATCATACTTGTTTTCGTATTTATGTCACTTAACATGCACTGTCCCAATCAAATAAACCAATGCATACAGATGCAAATACAACATCAACATATGACAATCATAAGTTCGCGATATCGAGTTTGTGCGAGCCCGGTCAGCCTTTGTAATATTGCTTTCTTCCATCGCGATATGTTGTGAACAGGTGATGAGCAAGGCTTTCCCAGATAAGTGCCCCCTGCAGGCCACCCAAATGAAACGCAGCAATTTCTTCAGTTGTTTTTTCCAAAAATGCCCAAAATCAAGACTCTTTTGAGAAATATTTTTTAGTACTCCCTTAGAATTGAGTGTCCCCCTCCCGATTAAGACTGTTACAACAACCATACACCGCACAGGATGAGAGCCTTTTGACTCCAAAACAGACAAGATTTACATGGTTTTCAATGGGAGCAAAACTGAGTTGTCCAATCTCTGCTCAGTCGCCCCATACAGGCCAGCTAAATGAATCCCAAGAATTCTGAAATCCCAGTGGGACCTGGATAAATAATGATTATATATATATATATATATATATATATATATATATATACAGGACTGGGACCTGGGAGGCCAGGGTTCGTATCCCACCGGGAGCACATTAACACCAACATCCAGTGAGGGTCCTTGGGCAAGACCCTTAATGCTACTGCCTAACTCATAACCATGAAGGTACAAATAAGCAATGAGATGCCGGATCAGCCGTCGCCCGGCCAAACAAGGTCTGCGTCAGGTGCTGGGGAACCAGAGCACCTTGATGAAAAGTGGGCTACTGGAACAAGGCGAAAGTGGACGAGATGCGATAACAGGGCTCTGTTGGAATGCTACTACTCGAGTAACCCTGGCCAAAGAGGTTACATGCAGAGAATGTGGGCTGAATGGTTACTTCGAAACCCACAGTCACAGTTGACCCCGAAACAACTGGTAGCTCAATGCTCCAACATCCACAAACGGCAACTGCTATCACAGCTTGAGATTGATGAAGTACAACACATATATAATGCCACAGTTGCCGAGGTCAGAGGGGAGATCCCACCAACTGCAACTCCCCAACCAGATATTGGGTACATAGCCCCAATGGAACCGATAACGCTGAACGAGGCAGCGACTGACCTGAAAGCTAAGATCATGGCTAGAATGGGCACAGGGCAAAGACACCGGTTACAGCGGTTGTGTGAAGTACCACCTAAGGATCTCATAGAAAGCGTGAATGCAGCAGTGAGGGCAATACCTACCACCACAATCACTGAAACCAATGAGCTGATATACACTTCAGCAGCAGTGATCCTAGAGATGCTTGGCTATAAGAGCAACCATGGGAGCCATGGACAATACCCACCATGGAAAAGACGGTTGGAGGCTAAGATCAAGGCGGCTCGGAGAGAAGTGAGTCAATTAACAGAGGCCCAGAGAGGTGCAATGAAAAGACCAGTACCCAGAAAGTACAGCCAGATGACCATACCTGAAGCACTCGAAACTGCCAAACAAAGGCTCCAAGCCCTGGCCAGCCGCCTACAGAGGTACACTAAAGAGAATGAAGCCAGAAGGGTGAACAGGCTGTTCGCAACACAACCTGCGATGGTGTACGCTCAGTGGCAGGGTAACAACAGGGGAGCAGATCCACCGAGGCTGGAAACTGAACAGTTCTGGAGGAACATATGGGAGAAGGATGCAGCACATAACAGAAGTGCACAATGGCTGGTGTCCCTGAGAGAGGAGCACAGCCACCTCCCAGAACAGAACTCAGTTACCATCACAGAGGCAGACATCCGAGAAAGAGTCTCAGGTATGAAAAACTGGACAGCACCTGGCCCTGATATGGTCCATGCCTACTGGCTAAGGACACTCACATCACTCCATGAGCGCCTAGCAGCACAAATGAACCAGCTGCTGAGAGATGGGACTCACCCAGAATGGCTAACCGAAGGGCGAACGGTCCTGATCATGAAGGACCCTGTCAAGGGTGCAGTCCCCTCCAACTACCGGCCAATAACCTGTCTCTCCACAACATGGAAGCTCATGTCAGGCATCATTGCGGCTAAGATAAGTGGGCATATGGAACAATTCATGAGCACAGCACAGAAGGGCATTGGTAGGGACACCAGAGGAGCCAAACACCAGCTCCTGGTTGACAGAACAGTCGCCCAAGACTGCCGGTCACGACACACCTGGATTGATTACCAGAAAGCCTACGACTCAATGCCACACACATGGATCATGGAATGCTTGAAGTTGTACAATATCAACAGGGCTCTAAGGGACTTCGTTGCAAACTCGATGGGAATGTGGAAGACCACCCT